CAGATAATGGTTTATCTGCCTGAGCTGCCGTGAAAGCAATACAAACGTCTCCACTGCAAAACGCTTCCCTACAGGGGATTGTGTTTTATTAAGTTGTAAGGAAATATGGCCCGTGGGATGAAATAATTCCACTTTTTTTCCATTGCAGCTTAATCTGTTTCAGTATTGAAGCCAGTTCTCCTCACTAATATGATGGAAATGATCCAAACCGGTTCATTTGCATTGGACAGGTCGGGTGATATTAGCTCACAATATGGCAGATTTTCCACCTCATGAATTTAGGACTCAGTTTTTATTTAATATTAAGAAATTAATGTCCATGACCGTCATAGCTGTTAGCGCTGGCAGATACTCTCTGCTACAAGCGGAGTGAAAACACATTAAAGGATTATTTTCTGACCGGCGTCTAATTTTCTTCACCACATTTTGTATTTGTAATTTGTGCAATTACAAGTTTAAACTGCTGTGCTGTTTCCAGGTCGTAGAGATGGATATTAGCCAGAATATGACAAAGAATAATAAAATGATTCTATTTAAGTAGTAGGAGTTTTTGAGCCTCAGTAGCTGCGTTGCCCAAAGGAATGGCTGGTCGATCCAATCCTTTGGTGTTAAATATCTCAACTGCTATGCAATGGTTTGGCAGAAACTTTTATTAAGATGTATGTTTCCCAAAGGATGAATCAAAATGACTTTTCATCTATAGAGCCATCACAACGAGGTTCACATGTGTGGCTTTGAGTGAAATATCTCAACATTTAGTGAATCGATTGCTATGAAATTTGGTACACACATTTATGACCCCCTCATGAGGAATTATAGAAACGTTGTTAATCTTTTTGACTGTTTGTCTAGCGCCACCAATAGGTCAAAATCTGAATTTGATCAATACCAAATATGCAACATTAACGGCATTCCCTTTACCCAATGTATATCTTATGAGATTAGATATTGTTTTAGATTTGGGCTTTTAGAGTATTGTAAGTGTTGTTTCTTACTGGTTTGAAGGCTGCATTACATTAAAGTGATATCATTTCCTCAGTTTACCAGACTTATACCTTTCCTATTATTTACCTTTACACAACTAGCCATTCAATCCACATTACCGGTGATTGTTTATCAATATCTCACGGTTAAATATTTAGTGAAAGCACCAATAGTCCAACCTACATTTTTGTTTGAGTATTAAGGTTGTAGGTACAACAAATATAATTTGATGTTCTGCTTATAACACAGGCTATGCTAAACTAGGAAGGGTGGGTAGCTTAGCATTCATTTCAAAGTGCCATGTCATACATACATAGTTTTGTTCATTTATATTCTACAACAGGGCTATTCAATTAGTTTGGAATGGGGCCGGTTGATGAAAATGATCCAAAGCAAGGGGCTGGGAAAAAGATGGCTTGAAATATGAGCAATCATATTAAGAGCTTCAGATACAGTAAATACTACAACAGCATAGTGGAGTGCATATATTGTGTTTAATTCAATCAAACAACATAGCCCCAAGGCCTTTAGAGATCTAAATGGCGAGTTCAGAACTCAGTAGGCCGACATGTGAAGCTAATTTAACCATCAACATCATTTCATTTGATTTAATTTAGGTGAAATGATCTAATCATTCACGCAGAGATGCAATCAATGACAGGAGTTGTCACAGTAGCTAGTAGGTGGGTTCGAAACCCGAGCCCGCAGAGGTTTTCAGGCATTGTCTTCCCCTCTATCTCTCAATTGAACACCCTCTCTGGAATAAAGGCACTCGGGCCCAAAAAAAAAGTCTAAAAAAAAAAGTTCTACAACATACAACGTTTTCTGCTACCTCCGCGACCCGACCACGGATAAGCGGGAGAAGATGGATGGACAACGTTTCTCGGTTTAAAAAAGAAATATGCCTTATAAACAAATTCAAGAACAAAGACTTTCACAAACCTCTATAGTAAAAAGCAGTCTATATTGTGATCTGTGTAAGTGTCCACTGATCTATGAAAGTGAAATTGTCCAGAAAAAACACTGGCCACTGGCGGATACTTAAGACTTGATTTTGTTGGCAGGACGAGCGGGGAAGAAGAGAATTCAGAGAGGATGAGTGTGACGATTTCTGGAGACTTCTTTAGAATAACATGGATATAAATGCAGAGACTCAGATGGACGTACAGTGCTGCACAGACAGCCCTTCAGTTCATCATTTAGAGCACATTAGACAAAGACTCCTGCTGAATATTTTGTATATGAGATCCAGTTGTACACCAGCTCATTCATGACATCAGCGTTTTGGCTTGTTACCCTCTCCACTTTGTTCAGGTCCGTGTGATTGCTCTTTATACTTTGGTAAATCTGTCTCCAAGCAACAATTCTGATGTTATTCAAAACAAAATACAGCATTTGGAAGAGGAGGGAGAGGGAGGATAAACTTGTGCTTGTATACATGCGAGCTCGACACAAGTATTTGTAATGTGGATCATTTTTAAAAGATCGTCTGATAGGAGTTGGCGAGGGAAAGGACGGAAACTGTGCTTTTTTGTTTCTGGCTGAGTTTCCTTTCCCACCACCTTCTCCCCTCCGTACCTGACTCTAATGAGATCTCATGTGTCAGATCTAAAGCTGCATCCAGCACTCCTGTAATGTTCAAGTAACTTTGGGTGAACAATGCATTTTAAGAAAGTTTTTCACATGCTTTTTGCTACTTGAGAATACCCTAATAATCAGTTTTGGTCTGTAATAAAGCATGTGTTTGCACAGCTCCCCCTAACCCTAATTGCTTGTAAGATAAGATTCAATCAAGAGGTTGTTGTGTTTTTCAACAAGAGTTTCCTCAGGTAGTCTGCTGCTGCTCAGTGCACACCTACTCTTTACCCACAGACCCAAAACTCCATCTTTGTTTGGCAAAGTCTACCCTTCACTGTAATCCTTCAGGCCTTCATTATATTTAAGGCAGCTGCAAAGCCAAGAAACATTTATTCTGTCAGAGAGAAGGCCGGCGTCCAACAGGAGAGTAGAATCGCCTCACTAATACATCATGAGTAAAGATCTGGGACTAGGGGGGGGGGGGGCATTCCCATTGCTGTTAATGTGGTTTGACTACGTTGATTCGTAACGAAGGTTGAACTTGTCGTCAGCCAAAGATCAATTAGATAAATTAGCCTCTCTGTTGGGCTGCAGAGCGAAGCTGCTCACTGCTGTGCTGCGGAAGCCTGACACAGAGAGGCAGCGAGCGTCAAGTGTTTAAAGAGAAGAGAAATGTTTTCAGTGCATTTGTTCGTTAGTTTGGCTTCTTCTCAGATTCAGCTGAATGCAGCCTTTGTTCAAACACAGTGAAACAAGAAAGAAAGAAAAGAAAAAGAGCCAAAAAGAAACGTATTATTTAAGCATTGAGCAAAAAGTTCAATACTTTTAGAAAAACAACTTTCCCGCTCTGGTAAGTGGTATTATTGTAGGCGCCACTGTAACAAAGACAACCGGATTGATTTCTGTTTTCCACAGAGCTGCTACTTGCAAAATGTAGAAAACTCATTTTGACCGTTGGGGAAAAGGGAGAAATATATTCACATTTATTGTATTGTAACTAATTCCCAATGCTGCTCTGAGTGCCAAATTCACAGAGCGTCTACCTCAAGTTGGCAGTTTCTCCACTGAAACAACACAACCACTCAACTTATGCAATTAATTCATGCTGACGGACTTCATATGCAAATTAGATCATGATGTTATCGGTTTTTGGAGCTAGTGATAGCTCCTGTAATGCAAAATAGTTGGCCACACTACACAGGACACACTGCATTTATTCTTAAAATGTTATTTGGTGAAGTGGTGCAGGAATGAGTCTTAAAACCTGTAAATGAGTCAGCATTTTAGTCGTACTCCACGACAATTATGGCGGTTGCTAACAAGTGTCTAAATGAGACGACTAAACGTCATCACGCCCAACATTAGCCTCCTTTAGCTTAGCGGTGGTGGCGTGAAGTCGTGTGACCGTGCTGTAGTTCTTTTATAGCCCAACATTAGCCACCTTTAGCTTAGCGGTGGTGACGTGAAGTCATGTGACCGTGCTGTAGTTCCTTTATAGCCCAACATTAGCCTCCTTTAGCTTAGCGGTGGTGACGTGGAGTCATGTGACCGTGCTGTAGTTCTTTTATAGCCCAACATTAGCAACCTTTAGATTAGCGGTGGTGACGTGAAGTCGTGTGACCGTGCTGTAGTTCTTTTATAGCCCAACATTAGCAACCTTTAGCTTAGCGGTGGTGACGTGAAGTCATGTGACCGTGCTGTAGTTCTTTTATAGCCCAACATTAGCAACCTTTAGCTTAGCGGTGGTGACGTGAAGTCATGTGACCGTGCTGTAGTTCTTTTATAGCCCAACATTAGCAACCTTTAGCTTAGCAGTGGTGACGTGAAGTCATGTGACCGTGCTGTAGTTCCTTTATAGCCCAACATTAGCAACCTTTAGCTTAGCAGTGGTGACGTGAAGTCATGTGACCGTGCTGTAGTTCTTTTATAGCCCAACATTAGCAACCTTTAGCTTAGCGGTGGTGACGTGAAGTCATGTGACCGTGCTGTAGTTCCTTTATAGCCCAACATTAGCCTCCTTTAGCTTAGCGGTGGTGACGTGAAGTCATGTGACCGTGCTGTAGTTCCTTTATAGCCCAACATTAGCAACCTTTAGCTTAGCGGTGGTGACGTGAAGTCATGTGACCGTGCTGTAGTTCTTTTATAGCCCAACATTAGCAACCTTTAGCTTAGCAGTGGTGACGTGAAGTCATGTGACCGTGCTGTAGTTCCTTTATAGCCCAACATTAGCAACCTTTAGCTTAGCAGTGGTGACGTGAAGTCATGTGACCGTGCTTTAGTTCCTTTATAGCCCAACATTAGCAACCTTTATCTTAGCGGTGGTGACGTGAAGTCATGTGACCGTGCTGTAGTTCCTTCATAGCCCAACATTAGCTTTTTACTTCCAAAATGTTTTTAAGATTTGAATCCCTCTAACTTGTTGCTGTTGGTGGTTGCAGTGGCTGATCGGGGACAGGGACAGTCACTGTGGGGTGATCTGCTCGCGGACGCAGGGGAAGCCGGTGTGCGGCTCGGACGGGCGGAGCTACGAGACGGGCTGCGAGCTGCAGAGAGCGCGCTGCAAAGATAAAACTCTGGCACTTGCACACCGAGGCCGCTGTCGAGGTGAGCATCAAACTTTGCATTAAATCTATGCTGGTGTTCTAAGAAAAGCATATGTTAAGCTGCCTTCAAGGACAATCAGTCATTTTCCAAATATGTTTTAAAGGTAAGAAACTATAAACCTGCAACATCCGTACATGAATAAACAAGTGAAACGAGGTCCTACTCATAACTTTACAGTAAGTAACTCTACTATGCCTTAGCATTATTGTGACTTTTTGTGTTTCAGGTAAAAACTGGGTTAAAAACGATCAGTTGCCGGTGGCTCCATCACCGACTTCTTCATCTGAGACGAGAGACGTGGAGGTCAAAGGTGAGAACTCTAAACACTTTGACTCTGATCAACAGTCCTATAAACAGAGATAGAATATGAGGAGATGAAGTTCTAATGAAAGATTGATCTGCGTTACCTAGAGCCAAGATAGCATGAACAAAAAAACAAGATAGCAATTGAAACAAATGCAAAAGAGAGTGAAATACATTGCGTTGGTTCCTAGAAGTTGTAAAGACCCACTGGAACCCTTTGCTGGATTATTTTTGCACCTAATTGTAACCCAATTCTTCCCTCTGAGACTTCATACTGTAAAGTTGGAAAGCAGTACACTGTGATTTACTCTCCGCCTCCGGGAGCATGTTTAAGATGTTGCAGCCTTAGTTTGGGAAAAGTGGAACCGAACCGAAGATGTCTTTGATTTTCCGCCTCTCTGTAGGCGTGTAAGTTTTTGCAGACCAGGATCACACACTTCCTCTCTGTGTGGATGGCAGCCCCTCAACAACAGCAGAGATTGATAGGTCTGAAGTCAAGGTTGGAACTTGGCATCCCCCTCCCTCTATTTATTTTTTCAGCCGCACTGTCCATTAGGAAAACAGCATTCCCAAAGGAATCCATTTGGAGTGGGTGTATACTCGCTGTGTGTAATATATGGTTTAGTTTCATAATGTGAGTGGTGTGCCACGAAAAGGAGAGCTGGGCAGAGATCACCGTCTCTGTCGATGCAGAGGACGGGTGTGTTGTAACGCCACCGCTGATGATGAACCAATGCTTGTTAACAAAGGCAAAGCTTGGCAAAGGCTTATTTACGTGAGATTCAGGTTAAAAACAACAGATACATTTCACTACGAGAGACAAACAACAACAAACTCATAACTGAGCTTAATAAAAACAGGCAGCACTGATTGTTAGTTGTTTATCTGTGACATCAACACGTCGTAAACAAGCTCATTATGGTAATGGTTCCTATTTACAGCCAGGTTTTGTACGATGTGTCAAAAGTCAATAAAACGTACCTTAAAACGTAAATACAACAAAGAAACAAGCCTTTAGATGTGGATGCCTTGTGCACAGACAGAAAGAAACAGATGCTGAACTGGATGGTCCCATTTCCCAAACTGGGAAGTTGTTTTTCTGAAACCGATGTGTTCACGAGCTTTAGGTCGTAGTGTAGATACAACAATGGATGATAAAAAAGACGCGTTGAAGCCGTTTTTTTTGTTGTTTCCCAATTATTGCGTGACAACAAAGAGCCATGAAATGTGTACCAACATTTTCAACGACACAGTAGTTGTTACTACTCGAGGGATGGTTCACATGTTTTGTCCCATTAGGGAGCTACCTTTTATCTAGTATTCTGACAAATGTGTGTTCCCACCCTGTAATTCAGATTGACTCTAACATGTTACAGGTTCTCCCTTGGTCAATGCTTCACCTCTCCACCAAGTTTTAAGAAAATCGGGCCTGTAGTATAAGCTGATCCTTTTGCAGAGATAATTTGCTGCTAAAATGTCAATAAATCAAACTCAATCAGACTTGAATGATTTGTTGGGGTCTTCTGTAGGGCATTTGACTGTTTTCCCTTTTCCTCACGACCCAACACTTGTTTTTTATGAGCCTTGTTTCTGAAGTGAGTTATAAATCCATGTATCCATGTCTGAGCTTCTGGGTGACTTCAGTTCTGGCTCCGTCAGTCTCCTTCTCTGGAGGAGACAACATGTCTGTCTCCTTCTCTGGAGGAGACAACATGTCTGTCTCCTTCTCTGGAGGAGACAACATGTCTGTCTCCTCTCAGGTCCAGAGAAAAGTTTTATAAACTCGTATTATATTTATCCGGGGGGGATGTTTGCCAGGAGTGGAGGGCTGCGGTGGCTCTGGTTAGCTCCCTGGTGTGAATGTATACACAGAATATGGAGCTCCTCTCCACAGGAGCTCCGAGTGCAGTAAAAACAGTAGTTTCTGACGGGGATTTGAACCGGTGACCAGCTGGGGTTCTGCAGACTCTGACCTTCCCCCTGAGATCCGGATCATCAGAGCTGCAGTTTCCACTGAAGTTAGAGAACATGACGCACTGCTCACAACGCGCTGCTCATGGTCTCGATGGTAATGGTCAGTGTCGAGGAATGTGTTGTTTTACCGCTTTTTCGAATAGTGTAATAAGAAGTTATTTGACTTGTCTGGGCTTTCTGCATCTGCAGTGCAAAAGGGTTTTAAAGGGATTTTTTCAGAAATGTTAAAACTCCCTGGAGGGGACACAGGGATTTTTGCCTCTGCAGACCATTTACATGCATCAAACCTATAGAAAACACTACAGGAGAGGGAACACCAGAAAAAGCATAATAAGGCCTCTTTAATGCTGCTCGTAGAAATAAAGCTCATAACTCTAAGAAAGACAATCTCCTTGTAAAGCTTTCAAAAGTAACCCTTGAACAAAGCACTTAAACGTCACCTGGCCCTCGGTAGTAAAGTGCTGTTGCTCTGCTCGGCCTCCAGGTGTGAACAGGGTGTTGTTGACAAAGAACACGCGTCTTCAATAAAACCCTCAGCATGCTGGAGGGTTTGCCTCTGAGTCCTGTGGATGTGTTTCAGATGCGGGTCAGTCCAAGTGTCGCGTTGAGAGGAACCAGGCTCTTGAACAATCCCGGAGACCTCAGGAGTCCATTTTTATCCCAGAATGCAACGAGGACGGGACGTTTGCACAGGTCTGACTCTACCTCCACAGATTTAATATCCTTCATGCTTGATATTCTTTATCTTATTTTCCTTTCGCTTAGTCTCTTATGAACTACTCACATCGACTAAAGGCCCACAGACACACTAGGGGCACACTAATGAAATCCAAAAGTTATGGGTGTGATTGACCTTTCTGTCTCTGCAGGTCCAGTGCCATACTCTGACAGGTTACTGCTGGTGTGTCACCAGTGATGGAAAGCCAGTGAGTGGCTCCTCTGCCCACAACAGGACCCCGGTGTGTTCAGGTACTGGGGGAGGGGGAGAGCCCGGCAACCTGTGGATGAAATGCCAAGAGGTTTTTTTAAAGAAATCTTGAAACATTTTTCCCATATACGGTTACTGATGTTGCCAACAAAGATTGCATCTGTCCTTCTCTTATAGAATAGAATATGGAGGGATGAAACCCTCTTTAATGGTCTCACATGCAGAGCACACAGCACACACAGTGAAATGTGTTCACTGCTTTTAACCCATCCTAGTACCAGGAGTCTAGTACTAGGAGCAGTGGGCAGCTATTGTACAGCGCCCGGGGAGCAATGGGAGTGAGGGGGGAAGGGGGATGTCTGGTGCCTTGCTCAAGGGCACCAGGGCAGGGCAGGAGGTGAACTGGGACCTCTCCAAATAGCAGTCCACACTCCATATTTTAGGTCTGGTCGGGGACTTGAACCGGCAACCTACGGCTCATAGTCCAAGCCCATACTGACTGAGCCACTGCACAAAGCTGTGCTCATTAAAGTTAGCTCAACATCAGGTTGTATGAGTAGAACTCTAGTAGAAGGGTTGATTCCCGATTATTATTTATAAGGGTGGAAAAGCAGTATTAGGAGCATTTTAAGTGTCCAATGGTCATTGCATTGGAGCCAAGAACGCCTTTTAGCCAAGTCACTGGAGTTTGGAGAAATTAATTGATGGTCCCTTTATGATTTGGATGTTCTTTGAACAACTAGAAATAGTTTTCATTTGAGGACTTCCTGATGAAATAAAAAGATTGAGGAAGGATGCAGGACATTTGGAGTAGAACTTAAACTGAGTGAATGACCAGTGATCACACATTAAATCTAAACTAAAAGGCTTTTCTGATGAAGGATAAAGAGTGAACGCAGCCCTTGGGTTGCAGTTAAAGAGGGTCCTTCTTGCCCTGCTGATGGTTCATATGTACTGCATGTCATGTGGCGTTTAGCAGGTGCAAGGTCAACCAGAAGGTTAATGGCCATACATCAAGCTTCCCTTCCCCCCTCGTCTAACTGCTCTCAGCAGGCCGGTTGAGGGAGAGCTCTGCACACTCATCCTGGATGGGAACACTTTATGATAATCACCATAATTTTCCCCCTGAAGTTAATACACGGGGTCTCTGCCAGATCTGGATTGCTCAGCCACCGGAACACATGGAGCACATTTAGTTTAGAGAGCGGTCGCTGCATGGTGAAGCTGCTGCAGACCGCCAGAGGCTTCCTGCTCCTTATCTTCCTCCTCTGCCTCTAAATATCTGCCTTTCTCTTTTTCCCACTTATCACCACTGAGGCACCTGCTGAGTTTCAGTCATTTGGGTAGATCAGTAGAGTTTGCAAATGGAGAAAGAATACAATGCTGCTTTCCCAGTAACAGACGCATTGTAGCAGATATATTAACTTTTTGGACAAAAAAAGGAATTGTGCATCTAGAGAACAACTCTTCTGTTTGAAGTAGCCATACATGGCCTTCTGTAAATGGCAATGCTTTATGGGGATTTCTCTCATCTCTGTAAGTGGAGGCAAATTTAAATGAAATGTATTTATTCCTGGGAACAAATGAACCACCGTCTGCATCCTTTGGAACCAGGCATTGTTTAATTTGCCCATGAAGAACTCATGAAGACAGAAGTTGATTGAAAGAGTTAATCTGTAAACTAAGTCTCTACACAGGAATTAAAGGTCCCATGTCATGGCCATTTCTACTGATCATAATTCCATTGTTGAGGTCTACTAATAGATTTATATTGTGCAATTCTCACATTGGTTTCTCATACAGCATCTCTGTATAGTATGTGTATTCACTCTCTGTCCTAAAACGGCTTGTTAGAGCTCCTGCCCCCCCCCCCCCCCCCCCCCCCCCCCCCCCCCCCTATGAGCCCAGTGGCCGTCTGCGAGACAGCGAAACCCAGCCGGAAACCAGCCCGAACACACACACACACCCGCAGCCTGGCTGGGAGTTTGTGTGTGTGCTCACCAGTGTTGTGCTAGTTACTGAAAACCAGTAACTAGTTACCATTACTAGTTACTTCATTTCAAAAGTAACTCAGTTACTTACACCAAAAAGTAATGCGTTACTGTGAAAAGTAACGTTTTAGTTACTTAAAAAAAGGGCTCCCATTAATGCCCTTATAGCCTTCATTTCAGTACTGTTATTGCATTGGAGAATAATACAATCTGTTGATCAACTTGACATGCATTATATGCAATCTGGATTGCATCGATATTTGCTGGCTTTCCATTTTTGTATATTCTTTCTCCAGGTAGTTAGAAAAAGTTTTCCGTGCCATAGCCTATGCAGTGTGCCGCCCGGACATGCTATCATGCTAACTAGCTCCCTGAAAGCGGGTGACTCCACTGTAGCAATAGCCTGCATGTGTTCTACAACATACCGTGCAATGGCTTTATCGACTTTTCCCTGGCCAGCAGTCCCTCGGTTAAAATCCAGCCGCTGTTGCTTAGGTGGAGGTGGAGTGGCGTCGGCTGACTCTCTGTGGTCTTAGCTACTAGCTTCGTCCCAGCATGTTGTTTTTGCAGATGTTTTAAGAGATTTGAATGACTGGTTTGGGCAGTAGATATGATCTTTGACCCGCCAAGACACAACTTACATTTAACTAAAACGTTCTTTTCTTTGTGCTCGACAAAAGTGAGATAGTGAGAATATCTCCAGGTGGAGAAACTAGACTTGAGCTCCGCCGCCGCCATGATAGTCTTGTTAGTAAACAACACAAACACGCCCACAGCCCGACTCTCCGCATGTGACACAGGAAGTATCTAAGTACATTTACTCAAGTACTGTACTTAAGTACAGTTCTCATCTCTGTTCGCCTGGCTGTTGACTATATAAAAAAACTAACGGAGTAACGGAGTAACGCACCATGTAGTAACGGTAACTGGGTTACTGAATTTAAAAAGTAATGCGTTAGAGTACTAGTCACTGCCAAAAATTACGGCGTTACAGTAACGCGTTACTTTGTAACGCGTTAGTTCCAACACTGGTGCTCACACACCGACTCACAGCATCCCGCCGTCTCAGGGAGGAGAAATCGGCGGAGCTGCAGCTGAGAAAAGATTGAGTGTGATTGTGTGTGAGGAAGTCCGCGGATTGGTCAATTTGGACCAATCCGCGGACTTAACGTAACGGCTCCACGGATATGTCCATTTTGACCAATCCACGTAGGGGTCGTCGTTACGTCACTTGGTTCCTGGAAGGAAAACATTTAAAAAGAAAATGTCCAACGAGGCGTTCTGGGGCAACACAGCCAGGTCTTTTCTGTGTTACGGCCCCTACACACGGCGGCATGCGTTACCGCTTGGCGGTGGGCGTGTCTGAAGCTTGGGGATTTTTTACGAACAACGCGACCACATGAATGTCCCGCCCCGGACATACAAAGCAAAGCATTCATGCTACATCCATGCTGGCTAAATATACTGTCTATGCTTGCTAGCTGTCCATTCAAACGAAGTACACTGGATATAAACTCCCCAAACAGGCGAAAACCTACCAGTGTCACCCACTGTCTCTGCCACCTCCCCCCATGCCTGGCTCCTCCGGTTTGTATCCATGTATGTAAAGAGGGGCTGGTCATATAGTACCGCCACGATCTTTTTCTCCTCCATTTTTTTTACATATGGGAAATAACTGCAGTCTGGCTCTCCCAACATACACGCGGTTTGATTGGCTAGCGCTTGTAATGTCAGATTTGCATACGTGGGATTTGATTGGCTGACGCCTCCGTCGAGGCGGCAAAAGTAGAACATTGCTCTACTTTTGCAGCGAGCACCGCGAGAGAAGCTACGCTTTGCTCCCACAATGCAATTCGGCGAATTGTGACGTCACCCCATTCAAAGTGAATGGGCAGAAGCGTTGAAGCGGCAACGCACGCCGCCGTGTGTAGGGGCCGTTAGAGTTTTACTCGCTACAGGGAGTACTTTGAGGGTTTGTGACTCTGCAGACCGTTTACATGCAGAAAAACCTTCATAACAACAAGGGGACGGGTAATAACCGGAAAAGCATGACATGGGACCTTTAAGTCATTTAGCATGAAAAAAAACATTAAAAAAATGTAATGGACTAATAAATAAGTGAACTTAAACTTCTAAAAGACCCTGACTGCAAAGGAATGTTGAGTATATTCAGCACTTACGATGGTTTGGCTTATTTGAAGCTAAGGAGCTGCATTTTTCATGTTGTTCTTAATTTGTTTCTTAACAGTTTATTGCACTTATTCTAAATTGCTTTGGATTAAAGTGTCAGCTAAATGTAATGTTAACAATCCTAAACTGACTGAGAGAAAATTGACCAGTAAGACGCCTAATTCACTAAGAAGGAAAACCGTAAAACGTATTTTTTGCAGAAATGAAGAATAACTCTTCCAGCGCTCAATGCAAGAAATGCTTTTGGTTCAGGTTTAAATAAAGCATAACTGAAATCCTGAGATGTAGTTTATTGCACGGCACAGTCTCTACCTGTCTCCCTTCTGTCCTGCATAAGATCCAATATCTTCATCGTTTCTTGCAAAGGTATGTATGGCCCTGAGAATCTGGGTACAGTGCAGCTGGAACAGTATTCAGCTGCTTCAACTCCCCCCCCTCTTAACTGGGAACAAATAACCTCCACTGACCTGCTCAGACGCTCAGACCCAAATCAATCATCTCACATACATTTGCAGGAAACTTCCGTGAATTTATGGGAACTCATGCTGGGACAAGTGGATTGTCAGGTAGTACATTTCCTTCCAGTTGCCTTCCCTCAAAGATTCTCCTCTTTGTCTTTCTATTGTAATTGGTTGTCTAATCTTCCCCGGTGCATCCATGCATGAAACCTGCATGCAAAGATCAAGAATGATATTTGCAAATGTACAACTTTATTTAACAAGATCTCCACAAATGTTGCAGATCTCTTAGGGTTGCATTGATCAGAGTGAGGGTAATGCAGAGGCTTTCAATGTGCCTGCTATTAATTACTAACAAAATGAACTCATCCAACTTTGATAAACCTCAGCGTTTAACTCTAAGAAGTCAGTGAGTTGGGTAATCTGTGGGACGTTGCTCTTTGGGTCCATGTTAAGGCGGAACAATCCAATTTAATTCTGAATCATAAGAAAGCTGGTTATCATTTATATATTTATAATCACTTCTAAAAGCATTTTGGAATCTTGAAATGTGCCCAGGAGTTGTCACTGCCGTCTAGTCTTTGCTTTGTACATGTAATGTTTTTCTTTTTTCTGCAGGGTCAGTAACCGACAGACCACCGGGGCCGCCGCACTCTGGTAGAAAAGGTGAGCAGAGATCTGCTGTAGGTTGTGTGTGTGCATGCAAGGGACTGTTTCTATTTGTATGCAAGAGACAGAAAGAGAGCATGAGTTCAAAATGTCTTTTGAGGCGATCTTGTTCCTGTGCAAAGTCCATTTTGGTGCAGAGTGTAAAGGTACAGGACTGCACTTTGACTTGTACCGTTAAGAGGATTAGGATGAAATCTTTATAGCACTTCTTTGCATGTTTGCATGATGCTCGGCTCTTTAAACGAGTATACCAATACTACAGTTCAACTGAAGCTAAGGTATACCTATAAGGTATTCCTTCAGTTGCATCATCAGTGACAGTAATGGATGCTACAAAAACTCCCTGGTTTTACCCCTTTAGGCATTTCTTCATATTGTTTCTGTTGAAACTGTAAGATATCCACGCTGTCTCATTCCCAGTGCACTATATACCAATGTTTAGTCACTGCCCCTCGCATTGTTATACCAACAATTACAGCTTCTTTAACGGCCCGTCCACACAGCGGCGTGCGTTGTCGCTTGCCGGCGGGCGTGTCTGAAACTCGACCAACAACCAATCACATGAATCTCCCGCCCCTGACACACAAGCAGCGGTTTGATTGGCTAGAGCTTGTACTGGCATATGATTCGATTGGCTGACGCTTCTGCCGAGGCGTCAAAAGTTGAACATTGCTCAACTTTTGCACCGAGCCACGCCAGCAAAGCTCCGCGTCGCTTCCCACAATGCAGTTCGGCGAAAAGTGACGTCACCCCATTCAAAGTGAATGGTGAAGCGTCAACGCACGCCGCTGTGTGGACGGGCCGTAAGTGTCTGTAGGAGCTGCACCATTAACCACAATGTAAACCCAAACAAAACTGAAAATCGAGTTATTGAAGTTGTGGAACTTAATTTGACCCAAGCCACACTTTTTTCTTCTTAAATCTGACCAAGTATTTCCGTTTGAATTCAAACAAACTAACAACATTTTACTGCAACCTTAGTGGAGCGTCACGATTTGACATGTAAGGCGATCTAATGAAAGTGCATCCAACGGTTCCTTAACAAGCGTCAATATTCGACGAGCTGGGATTGAGAATGGTTTAAAAATGATGAAGAATGACTGTATTGTAACTCTACAGTTTTCCTACTAGTTTCAAAAAAGTTATACAATCAATATCAAGATAACTGAAGTAAGATCAATGCAAAGATTTCTTGCATGGGGCTGCCGCAGAAATACAAATAAAGTTCAAGGTGTTAAAAACACCTTGAACTTTATTTGTATTTCTGAGAAACTGAGAAAAGATGGGCAGTCTCTTAGTGAATCTCTTTTGTAAAGCATTATAGTTTTTGTTTCCCCACTGAGAGTTACTCTATCGGTGATAGTCGAGTTAGGAGTTTACAGTCCGTGTCCAATAATTGTTTTTTCCCATCACAGTCCAAACATGTTAACTGTTGTATTTTATTCCCAGTTTGACCCAATCAGGTCAGTTTGACCTCATGTTTGTATTTGCTGACGAGCCATCTGATTTACTTTAGTGTTTGTGGAATGAATCCAGTTCTCTGTGGTTTGCTTTTAATCAAATTATTTCCTAAGGAGTGATCCAGACGCTACAAAACTGCACATGGGTGAGTATTCTAGGTTGTTAAATTCACAGCATTATAAACAGTAAGAACAATTACAACTCATCTACTATCTATAACAGAACATTGGCTCTTTAGGCCTGATTTTATAAGCAGAAAAGAAGATTTAATACTTATTTAGAGCTACTGAAAGAATAAATGTAAGACCAATTCTTAGCACACATGTTCAGCTTTTTCCGTATGTGCATGACTTTAATGTAAAAGGAATTTAGTAACTTCGTTTTTTAGAAATACAAACAATTGTTTTGGGCAAATCTTGTCAAAATAGTGGTTTTTCAGAATCGTTAACGTATGATCCAAGATGCGAGTCCGTGGTGATTTTTGATTTTGACTATTGAGCCAGAAAAATGATTAGGCCATCAACAAAGTGGAAAGATATTTCCTCAGGAGACAATCAGTGTCATTACCAAATTCTTATGCAGTCTGGCTACTTTTAGAGCGTTCGTAAACTGGACCTGAGGTTTTAGATACAAATGAACCAACAAAGTTAATACGTCTTAGTTTGAAAATACAGTTTCAGTCAGTCAGCTCAGTATGGATAATTTGCACTGCAATCATGCGAGCCCTGATAGGGATGGTGGTCCCCTCGTGTGATGGTATATGTGAATGTGTGTGTGGTTTACATGATGATGGTGAGGGTGTGTGTGCAGTGCGTTGGTGTGAGAGTGTGAGGAGTTTGATTCATTGATGTGTGTGAGATGTTGAGCCACATGTGTGTGTGGTTGTCCTCTGTGTTTTTTTTATTTTTATTCCATCTATCTCTCCCTCTGATTTTCTATCTGTCTTGGCCGGGCCATGTGCAAATCCAAACCATTCAACAGTTCTGGAGAGTAGATTGTATTAACCTCAATAATTGTAGTCTCTTTCCGTTTCTTTCTCACTCTCAACCCAGATGATGGCTCCAAGCCCACGCCCACCATGGAGACCCACGTCCCCCCCGAGGGTGACGGTAAGTCTCCTACATCTGTAACACCTGCTGAGATTTACTTGTCACGCACCAATATTATCGCATATATGCAGGGATTTTAATATGGGAAAACACGCAAAATAATAATTTTCTGTTATCTTTTTCTGGTTTGTGACTTTTTAAATCACAAACTGTGGTAACTTGTTATTTATATGTTTTATTCACAACATAGTTGAAAGTCTAACAAAGATGAGTTTGTTTTGTCTCTTAAGTTTACACAAATTGAGTTTTACAACGAACAGCGAGGTAAAATAACAGTTTCTGTTTCAATGGGGTCTGGTGGCTTTGAGTATTGCATATTCATTGTATGAATTGTACTTAAATAAACTATAATAATTGTCCAAATTCCAGTTGATTTTATTCAGATAAAGACCATTAGCATGTCCACGTGGATGTCAGGTTTCCAACACTGCTGATTGGGGCTGGTTAGCGTTAGCCAACGAATACTGTAATAGAGTCATTTGTCCCAGGAATAAATGCCAATTGGAACCGAAGGGAAAATTCAGAATTTGAGTTCATGTTTTTTCTTCATTGGCTAAGAAACTTTAGTAAGCTGAGGCGCCCAGCATGTAAACATTACAGTGCAGTTAAGATATCTATTTTATGTTGATACTTGAGTTTAATGTTAGTCAAACCTAAGATACCATTTCTTAAGTATGCACTGTTATACTGAATGGAAAAATCCAGCTGTCAGAAATATCACATATTTGATATTTTTGGAAACACTGGAATCTTGGATGCAGTTTTAATGTGTGGTTTGGTGGGCAAACTTGGCTGTGCAGATGTTTTGAATATGCAGCTACTGAAGGATCAGGTTCACTGAGGAGGTTAAACAAAGCTGTGGGTAATTGTGTGGAAATCATCTCACAGCATGGAGTTTATTGACTGTACTCTGTTTCTTTTGGTCATTGCAGAGATAACTGCTCCAACGCTGTGGATAAAACAGCTGGGTTATAAGGAGAATAAACAGAACAGCTCCAGCTCCAAGAGACAAGGTGAGACAAAAGACCTCCTGAGAACTCATATCATATTCATCCTAAATGAACGTTGTTACTTCTACTACTTCATTGTTACTAGGTCACTATGTCCAATCACTATTAACACAGATCCTATAGATTGCCAATTTAAAGCCATATCAATTATGGATTCATTATTAAAGTAATTCTTTTTGCGAATATGGAAGAAATGCTGTTTTAAGCCTCTGGAATATTTAAATGTCTTGCTTTTGTAATATAATAAACTGAATATCTTTGACAAAACAAGACATTTAAAGACATGTTCTTGGACTTTGAGGAACTAAGATGGACATTTTTCACTATTTTCGCACATTTAATAAATCAATCTACAAAACTATGCGCAGAAAAATCGATAACTAAAATAAAATGATTGGCTGAATTAGCGAGTGGGAAGCCAGTGAACCCATCTCTCCTTGCAAGAGTACCACCCTCTTAAAGATCACCAGTGCACTGTTTTCAGGACGCAATTATGAGAAATATAAATATTATGATAAATATTATACCAGTGAAGTAGCACATAGCAAAGGATAAATAGGAACACTCGGAAAGTATCAACTGTAACTGGTTTTCAAAGCCACTGGTTTCCATTCTGAAAACAGCCCTTCGTCACTGGGATAATGTTTCCTGGTTGCTTTCCTTTGGTGTAATTTGTTTGGCTTTCTCTGTCTCCTTTTCAATTACACCTCGTCATGTTCTCTTCCCTCTGGGCAGCGGGACGCCTTTCACGCTTCTGCAGCGATCAATGAGTGAATGTGTTCAGGAGGGAGTGTGTGTCTGTGTGAGAAAGGTCTTATTGGTTAGCTAACATATTTCTATTCAATATTCTGCAGAAAGTGCATTTGATAAAGTCTTTACTAATGCCGTTGTTATGTTTTGCTTTGGTAATGTCTTTTAGCTAGCCACTGAGATGGAGCAATTATCGAGTTTTATATTCCTAAAGCTAAGGCTGATCAATTTTGATTTGACTGATTTTTGCTTAAATACACGGCTTCCTACACGTGTGCATTATAATTCAGGATGCAGTGAGCTCCCAGTTGATTGTAATACGGGGGTCTCTCTCCTGAATGACGGTGCTGTGTGGGGGGGGGGGGGAAGCTGTGGTGAGGGAGAGAGAGACTGTATTTCAGATGAGAGAGATTCACTCTGACAGCTCTTTGAAACACAGCTTCCTGTTTCCAATTAGCATCCGGTGTCCTCAAAGCCTGAGCGACAAGGCCGACTGCAGGGAGATGTCATCACTCTTGAGACATGAGCGATGTGTGTGTCTGCATCTGCATGTGATTGCATACAGTATGTTCCGTGTGTGTGTGTGTCTATGAATATCTGTGTGTTAGTGAAAGAATGTGTGTGAAGATGTATGTGTGCATGGAAGTGTTCTGCATTTTTATTTTGTTTGACCGATGTTCATTTTATCTCCTATATATTTTAGACAGTAGATACTTAATGCTGAGTCGTGCTGAGATTGTGAGGATACTGTCGATTTGACTGTTGATGCTAACACACATTTTGATAAATAATCTTCAGTAATGATGACTGAGTGGCTAAAAGCAAATACAAGTACAAACCAGAGCAGATAAGAAAAGTACATCCAGTACTGTGAAGCAGCCTTAAAACCAGGAAACCTTTGTGTGCACATGAAGTGTGTGTTTCAGTTTCTGGCCCTCTCTGTCTGTGGATGGATACCCCGTAATTATTAGAGCATAGCAGAGATTGTGTTAGTGAAACGTGTTTGCTTAGGCAAAGCAATGTGGAGGCAATTTTTCAAAAAGATGCTCTGCTGCCAGACTTTGACATGATGTTGTTTCAATGCTGTAAGGAGGGGAAGAGTTCAGACATGCAGCTCATTTGTAAAAGTGTCTGGACGCAGAGAGGAGAACCAAAAAATATGCAGGAATATAACGTGATCGTGCCTACTGATCCTACATAATAAACGATGCAGGCGTATAGAGGGATGTTGGTTGTATCAGTCCTGTTTGCATGTGTTGCTGGAAGCACTTGGGTTTGACTCTTCAGCTCGATTAGCAATGACAGTAACACGACCGGAACAAATTTGCTAACGAATGATGTGTTCAATATCTATTTTATGAGTCATTGCTCCATCATCTCTGGTTTTGTTTGACCCTAAATCATAAACACACACAGATGCACCTACAGACCTACTCGCAGTGCTCCCCCATTACTAAGGCTTCCGGTATTTTAACTGCAGAGGAGGCTAGCTAGAGACAATATTGCAGTGATTACCCGACAGCTGAAAGCCATTGGAGGGAAGTGAAGAGGAGAGGGGGGGAGGTCCGGAGAGGGAGAGAAAGAAAAAGGAAAGTAAAGAAGTGACAGACAAAGGCTGAGAGGCAGGAGGAAGGGATGGGAAGAGTTATACAATGATAAAAGAAGAAAGTGAGAATATAGAAAAGAGAAGGCGATTAAAAATTCATTTGGCTCAGAGCCTGGAGGATGAGGAAGGTTTAAAACAGCGAGCCTGTACAGCAGATGTGTTTAAGTTATCAGTTTGCCTTGAAGAAGGAATGACCACAACAACAAGAAGAGACACTCATCCACTTGTGTGGGTTTCTTTCCTTTTTTTCAGGACAATATTTGTTTTCCGAAGGTTTTTGCTTCTCATCATTCGCTTCCTGCTAAGGGAAGAGAAATGAAAGGGAAAAAGAAACGAAAATAGAACATAAAGCGCAGAGATGCAGATATCAAAAGCAGGCAGAGGAGGCCTAGATTACATTTCAACTCCAAACACAACTGAGAGGATTGCATTGCAAGGATCCAGCCTCTTTCCATTTATATGTATAAAAACAATTTTCTTTTGGGAACCCTAGTGCCTGGCGCCAGCATAACCTCTGTATAATAAACAGTGCTAAATAATTTGGATGTGAAGGAAGCTTGGCGAGGAGCAGAGCCGCGGTGCAGCGCTCACAACACTTGAGAGTGAGTCTGTGCAGGGGAAAACCTATTGGTGCGTACACACACCAACACACACTCCTCAGATCTCTACTGTCATCTCCAATCAGTATTAACATTATGAAGGATGACAAAGGACTGTTGTGTTTAACATTAAATTAAATTAAATGACCAATTCCTAATGAAAACCCCCAGGACTTCTTCACATTAAGAGACAGATTTTAAGGTTTTGTGTGGAGGCGTGTGGCGCAGTGGGTTAGTGCGTTGGTGTTCGGATCAGGGGAGCACAGGTTCAGACCTCACTGCAGTCAGCATGTCGTTGTGTCCCTGAGACACTTCACCCCAAATTGCTCCTGTGGGGATTGCCCACAGTATTGAGTATGTAAGTCGCTTTGGATAAAAGCGTCTAACAAGTGACATGTGAAGGGTGTGTCTACTTGTTTTTGTCCAGCATGTATAGTCTTTATACTGGGGTCAATATAAATTAGGGCCTAAAGAGCCCAGGCCTATGAATAGGTCTGAGACTTAGGGGTCAATTCACAAAGAATGTATTGCATCCGGTGATCCCCAAAAACGTTGTGTACTCTATACTTTGCATTGGTTGTTTTTTACAATAGCTATTAAAAGGGGAAAACAAAACTTGCTACTACTTTTAGCTCTGTTTCTGGTCCCTACTAACTCTTTAGCTGCTGTTTTTTTTTTACTTTCCTGAACTTTCTTGCTGGGTTAAAAAACAATTTGATACGAGCAGTGAGACTTAACTGGCTGTAGAACCAAAAAGTGTGCTAAAAGACACTAAAACTACCCGTAGAACTGGGTGGAACAATACAGATTCGGTAGATAATTGTGGGTTCGTAAGCAAGACCGCACAGTCATGTATTCCAGTGTTAATAAGGACATATTGATCAACATTTTTTTGTAAGGATCTGACACTTTCCATCGTTGTTGTTGGGTACAGAATATACCTAGTGCCATATTTTATTTCACAAGCTCCTTCCCGTGTTGACTCAGACGGTCACTATGCCGTATTGTTCTCATTATTCTTTGGTTACTGGAATTGTGGGAAAATACCAGCGACGCTTTGGATGTAATAGGCGGCACAATGTGAAAATATAACGTCATTCCTCGCTGCATTACAGGATACTTGAATGTAAAATGAAGAATGGATTAGGAGTGGTAAAAGCACACTTCATCCCCATGGTTACAAGTTTAACATGCAGCTCTGTTATACTTGTTTTAAGAGTGAGTGATGGGCTAAATGGATGTGAATGTAAACACAAATGTGGTGAATCAAGGTGTAGCAGGAGCAAAACTTGAGGGCTGTTGTACAAAAGACAGATATGACAGATTGTGCTGGGTAAAGTTATACAACCCGAGCAGGACTTGTAAAGGTTTTATAGTTTATAGTGGAAACAGAAAGGTAGATGCGTCTTGATGAGGTTTGTTTGGGTACATAAGTATTGAATAGGAGACCCCCGGTGCAATTCAACTCTCTCACAAAGGTTTTTTTTCTATAATCAGCAAGGTGAAATGATAGTTTCTGCCAATGGAGGAGAACGTACTTATTGTATGTTTAATACATAAATAAATGATAATAATTGTCTACCCGTGTGTCATGTTTCCGACAAATACAGTAACTACTGTAGAGTTTGAATTCCAGTGATAACCTTTCCCATTAGAGATAAAGTCGGGAGTAGGGGGGGGTTAGTTGTCCGCCAATCATGATGTAGATAATCCTGAATCAGGTTTACGAAATATTAGTTACCAGAAAGTCAACAATGTGTTGTCAGCTTCCTCGTTATTCTTGTGACTGATACTAATTCTGTGAGTGTATATTTCCAGTTGTGGTATTGAGTGTGTTTCTCACGGTTTTAGAGAAAGTTCCCTCTTGTGACCAGGAGCGAGAGAGCGCGCTGGACGAGGCTCGGCAGAATCCTCGAGAGGCCATTTTCATCCCGGACTGTGGCCCCGGGGGTATTTACAAAGCGGTCCAGTGCCACCAGTCCACGGGCTACTGCTGGTGCGTTCTGGTGGACACGGGCCGGCCCATCCCTGGAACATCCACCAGGTAATATCAATTCAAAAAGATCTTCGGTAACGAGTGCTTAAGACAAGTTTGATTCGAGGTGCTCTTTGAATAGGGATAGCTCAAAACATCTGACAACAAGGTTATATAGTTTATCAGAAAATGGCCAGTGGGAATGACTATTTTATGTTGTCATAGCTTGAACGTTTCTTCAAGCAAAATGCGTACATTAGAACGCTAATATGGTCACAATTCTAATGCTAACGCTTGTTCTTTTTAGGTATAATGTTTATGTTGTCCATCTTTGTGTGCTAACATTATCTAATTAGAACTAATCATGAAGTAAGGTAAAGTATTTCAGAGCGATCTATGAAAAAGATTTGAACAAAAGTGTTGGACCAACCAAACAGCAGACCAATATGGAAATCCCTAGAGCTAACGGCTAACAGCTAATTTAACGGTTAAGACCTTACATTTCTTGAGAAATTCAGCTGCTGCTGCCGATTCACTTGAACAATTAACTTCGAGTCCTGATGGGAAAATCATATAACTGACCATAAACACAGCGCTTGGTATGACGTTGGTTCCCAGCGCAGCTTTCTGTGTATCTTGATTTCAGGGAAGTGGTGGAGGCACAATGGGTTTTTTGCCAGAGCTGAAAGTCAAAGGAATGGAGATGATGCCATGTTGAATAAATGATCCTCATTGCTCATGTTTTGGTTGTTTAAAAATAGGAATATTACAACTTGAAACACAGCGTTCGAAATAGGGAGAGAGATTGAATGTTTAAAAAAATCTGTCAGTGTGCACCGGTGAATAGATGAGATGTTTTTGTTTCTGAAGGGGCATCATCGCTCTCTCTAAAGAGGGTTTATGTTTTACAGTCTGAGCTGCAGACCATCAGAAAGAGTTAGCTGGCGGCCTTATTAAAGCTTGAATGCAAGAGAATGCAGGATTTGTTTTAAATCAATTTAATAAAAGCATATCCACAGCCCCCAAGAAAAGCTAAAAGAGATCCCTAACAGACCAAATTCTCATCTGCATTTCTGAAGTATTGAATGACACCCTCGAGGCGATTATTTCCTCACATAAGAATGTATTGTATTTTGGACTAGACCTCAATTTCTTTCCTCTAGACAGCAACGTGCAGAGTCATGCATCAGACATCCGTTCTTGGATCAGTGGCCTTGCAGAAAAAAGAAATGACAACTTGCTTTTACTTTGAAATTGAAGAAAAAAAGCCAAATGAGACGCACATGCTCAATTTTCCATCCTATTCATGGAGAACTGATACAATAGCCAGGAAAAAAACGAGTCATGCAACGCATAATGCCCAACAGTTTGTTATGGCTCCGAAAACAAAGCTGTGTGCACGTCACATCAAATTAATGTATTAGGCGCATATAGAAACAAAGGGTAATCAGAGTGCTTTGACAATATATTCTCTTATATATTTTTTTGGGGTTTCTGTCTTCAGTTTGACGCTTTGTTCATTTATTTTTCTCTGATTAAATGTGTCAGCGTCTCCTTTGATATCTGGGGTTTTTCACACGTTACTAAGACGGGTTTATTCTTTCCTTCTTGTGTCTCATGCAGCCATGTTCCCGCTGTCCTCTCCTCTCTGTGTAACAGGTACCAGACGCCAGAGTGTGACGGCACGGCCCGCTCTCACGTCTCAGACACTGAAGACCCCTTCCTGGTCAAAGACCTGCCAGGTTTGTGTTGCTCACTTTTCACTCCAGTTATATTCATATGTTTGGGTTTTTAGGGAGTATCAGAAAGATTCTTGGAATAATTTAACTTGCTCAACCCATATTCTGAAAAATTATGAAGTTGAAATATTCCCTTCAAAGTCTGTAAAAATGTTGTGTCACATAAAAAAAAACGATTGACTTCGAGACGAGGGAACTGGATAAGTCTTTTGGGGTTTTATGACTCATTCCTGCACAACTCGCTGACCAGAAGATGGGTTTAGAAAAAGATAAATGAAAAGCGTTGAAGCTCAGAGGTTTCACACTAACTGACCAGATAGAGGGTTTTTATTGGGAAAGGACCAAGTCACACTTTGTGGTGTAGGGTTCCCAGGCAGCAGAGATCAGAGAGGCTCTTCTGAAGCAGGGGTTGTAACCTCCTCTGCCCTCGTTCCTGCGCTGCTCACTTACTTTTGTTGCCCCTCTGTTTCCCTATCACTGCATTGTAACTCTAATTTAATTCCCCATCTGGTGAGTTTACAGAGTGGAGCATGACTCCTGACTGTGCAGCAGATGTGTGGCATGTTTTATGGAAGGTGTGAGTGTTGGGGGTGTGGTACTGCCGAGGCTTTGGGGGGGGGGGTGTTGGGAGACCACAGGGAGTGGAGATTTCTTTATGTACTGTAGAGGGACGTTCTGAACCGCCACAACAAAAAGCTCAATATTTCGTGGTCGTCACATCTGTCAAGGCCAGAGGAGAGAAGAATGCTGAGATGGCAGCGTGTTAGCATCGTGTTAGCATCGCGAACGCGCTGCGTTAGTAGCACGTTAGCAGCGTGTTAGCAGCGAGATTTTTTTTTAAAGAGTTTTACACTCATAAAAAAAAGATACAGCTTAGGGGCCCTAATGCTTTTTGGGGTTTACCCTTTCCTGTAGTGTGTTCTAAAGGTCTGTGTGCATATAAATTGTCAGCAAAGACTAAGGAAAACAGTTGGAAGTCCAAGAGTAAGCTATGAAAATGGCAAGCACAGGAAACAAGGGTATGGCAATCAGACCAAAACAAGATGGAATCTGAAGTTGGATTTCACACCGTAACCCTCGTTGAGGCGGGGTTTACAAACAATAACCACCAAATCCTACTCATTGTGTCTTTGAAAAAGCAAAAACAAAATATCAGAATGTTGTCTGTTATTGATATTTAGTCAATACTCATAAATCACTAAAGATAATTAAAGTGGTAGAAACTGAAATATCTCTTAGCTTAAAGGTATGAGCGAATGCAACCTGTGAAGATGTGCCACAGTTAAACTTAGCTTTTTTCTAATATTTTTAAGCTAAATCAAGTTTGCTTGGTGCAGCTTGAGTGTGCTTTCATACATTGGACCACACTGTGCCCTGACACCTTGCCACAGCATGCATACAACCATTCTGCGCTCCATAACCCCCCAATTTAACACTTGGATTAAGGCGCAGCAAGGCAGTGCTTCTCCCTGCTTGTCATGTCCTCGGAAATGCTAATTGGATTCACCTGGAGGGGCAGCAGACCACCTCCCACAGAACAGAAAGACGTGAGCAGAGCGCAGAACAAGGAGGCTGAGAGGAAGAGGAGGAGGGGAGAGACTGGAGACTTAAAAAACTAAAAGAATGAGAAGATTAGTTTACTACGCAGCTGCGTTTGAAGTTTCCCTTTAAGAGACACAATTAGGAGGGAAACATTTGCACTGGTTTAGCGTGCCATTAAAGCCATACATCTGGGCAATTAAACATAGCTACCCAAGGTGTTCAGAGTTGTGTCATAAAAGTTAACAGGTCTGCACTGCTCAACAGAACTCTCTCATCACCGCACACTTCGGCCAGCCTCCCGCCATGTGCCGCGGCTCTGCTTTCTTACAAAACAGCCAAACTATGTATTCCACCTCCATTGGAAATGATTCACCGGTAATTGTAAGCGTAAGCCAATTAACAGATACACCTGGTTTGTCGCTAAGCTGCGCACAAGGTTTGCTTTCTTTCACTGAGTAACAGCCAACATCTGTCACGCTGGTTCCCGGCGTCGAGGCTTTAGAGGCACTTCGGCCTCGCGGAGCCGTAATGACTCCAATTACTCGTGGAAGGTAATTTTGATGTTTTTTTGTGTCTTTGATTTGTGCCAGGCTGCCCAGAGGGGAAGAAAGTGGAATTCATTACAAGCTTGTTAGATGCCCTCACCACAGACATGGTGCAAGCCATAAACTCACCGGCCCCCTCTGGTGGTGGGAGGTAAGTAGTTTCATGATGTAGCCCTGAATTAGTGTGAATATTGTACCAAAACATGAAGCATTATGGGTGATTGTTTAACTGCTTTTGGGTTTTCCTCAAACTCTTTCCCCTCTGATTTTCTGAATGTAATGCTTATGTTTTAACTCTGGCCTGCACAGCTCTTGGCACAGACTAACAGGGTTTGTGTTCACCTAATATTATAATACAACTTTATACACAGTCTCCCTTATAAATATTCAGTATCTGTCCTGGAGATTATTTTAAGCTTCTGGAGAAATGGGAGGAATTCTAGTTTAATTATCTGGGTTTATTTAACTTGATAACAAATAATAGGCTGGTTATAGAAAGAATAATGCTGATCTTTCAGACCTCAGACTGTTACTTTATCTCAGGATCATCATTGTCATTAGACAGGCATTTTAGTGATATTAGCTTTCACCACACCCGTTTTGAAACATGGACCCAGTTTATCACGCCTAATGCAACCAGTGTGTTCAAAAATAACAATACACAGAAGGAGATAGAGAGATTTAATTTAATGATAAGCTACAATTCAATTTGTGGTTGGAGGGAATTCTTTTCACGGGACACTATGACCGGATAGATTTAAAATATGACAGATTTACAACAATTTTCTAGGGGATAACACAAACTCGAAACAGATGGGACTTGAAGGTATTTGGGATGCCAATGAACTCTTGATTTAAAAATGATTTTATTGTATTACTGTAACAAACGACTATCAGTTTCTAACATGAACTGCCTGAAATGTCAAGATTTAAGATTTTGTCATTTCATGTATATGAATTAGGGCCAAGGTCAAGTTATTTTATGTCAAATGTCAAATGGTGTCATGCAGGATTAATACAACGTTATTAGCCCTTCTAAAATGCACATTAAATTGTTATCTTTGGTCAATTTATGTTAACTTTCACTTTTGCATTTCCAGTTAATTCTTGTGCATATGCTTTATAGTAGTGCTGGTGCTATAACTTATGGTGAAAAGGTATTTACTTTTTGAGCAGTTTTCACTAGAGTTATCGTGCTACTTCCTGTTTCCCCTCTGCTCCTCTTCCCTCCCCAGGTTTGTGGAGCCGGACCCCAGCCAGACTCTGGAGGAGCGGGTGGTGCACTGGTACTTCGCCCAGCTGGACAACAACGGCAGCCAGGACATCAACAAGAAGGAGATGAAGCCCTTTAAGCGGTACCTGAAGAAGAAAGCCAAACCCAAGAAGTGCGCCCGCAAGTTCACCGACTACTGCGACCTGAACAAGGACCGGGCCATCTCCCTGTCGGAGCTGAAGGGCTGCCTGGGCGTCAGCAAGGAGGGTGAGAGGGAGAGGGAACAAGGGGAGAGAGTAAAGGTCACAGAGAGAGGTCACGACCCCGGTGTGAACCTAAAGCCAGCTGGGAAAATCTTCCCTCCTTTAACATCTAGTTGGAGATGCTCTTTGGCGTGAATAACTAATGTTTTACAGTTAAACGGCTACTTCAAGGTCAATAAAACCTTCCTATAAACGTCAGATTGAAGATTTATGAGAGTGAAAGAGGAACATGGTTGTGCTAAGATGATCATTTGTCTTTTGTTTAAAAAGTGGTGTTGTGTAAACCACAATATAGATAACTATTTCCATTTGTTCTTACATTATTTTTTTTTACTATTTGTTTTAATCATGTCACAGTTTGAAAACCGGTAGCTGTGCTGATCCATTAAAAAAAAAAAATCGATTTAAAGTGTGCTGGGAATATTTTATATCCTAGCATTAATTAATTTTCATTGCCTTAATAAAAGAAATCCACCTTCATGGAGTTGAATCTTTGTTTTCCTCTTCTGCAGGAAGCTCAACGACAAGCAGCAGCCAAGGGTCGAGGCAAGGGACCAAACTGTCCAGTAAGACAAACAACTAAACACTTTCACTAACTTTGTCTTTAAACGCTGGGGATTGGTTATGGTGTAACATATTAACACACAGTGCATGCTGGGGAAATGCAGATACAGATAGTGGACACACAGCTTTTGATTCACATGCAGAGCTTTACACGAGTAGAGTGAGGTGTTTGTCCTTCTGTATCAGCTTGGATGTGCAGTAATGTGAGGTGTGTGTGTCCATGGCTACTCTGGTGTATTGTTATCCGTCCTGCTGCATGTTATGGACGACGAACACAGGCCACTCGATTCACAACATTACCCTAACCCAGTGTTTCTCAAACTTGTTCATACCAAGGACCACTTAACCAATACAAAAACACTCGCGGACCACCTAACTCCACAAATGTCCAAAATCGCATCGTTTTTCTAGAACAGATTACAAATCGCCTGAAAATGGTACAAACAAGTGGCAACATGTGCGATGAAGGTGTTGCGCTGGGCTATATCATGCAATAGAAAGTGAAACTTAACCTCGCTCCATTGCGGAGATATTCCCGCGAGAGTGCGGAAAACTTAAATGTATTTATTTCAAATGTGAAATGTTACCAATATACTCGCGGACCACTAGGGGGCGCTCACGGACCACACTTTGAGAAGCACTGCTAACCCTACCCCTCACACCAGATACTGACTGGTTTTCGGACCCCCCCAGACCCCCCCAATAAAGCAAAACTTCACGTTTCAGAGTGGCCTTCTATTGTGGCCAGCCTAAGGCACACCTGTGCAATAATCATGCTGTCTAATCAGCATCTTGATATGCCACACCTGTGAGGTGGGATGGATTATCTCGGCAAAGGAGAAGTGCTCACTATCACAGATGTTTTCAGATTTGTGAACAATGAGAGAAATGGTTATTTTGTGTTTATAGAAAATGTTTTAGATCTTTGAGTTCATCTCATGAGAAATGGGAGCAAAAACAAAAGTGTTGCGTTTATATCTTTGTTCAGTGTATGTCCTTTTGTGTTATCTGTTGTTTTATGTTCATGTTGTAACAACTTGCTGCCATGTTGGACAGGTCTCCCTTGAAAAAGAGATCGATGATTTCAATGGGACCATCTGGTTAAATAAAGGTTTTAAAAAATAACCCCTACCATCAGCGTGAGAAGTATAAAATAAGATGCTACCAACTATTTAGAGATTTCAAATAGCATCGTAAGAATACATCTTTAAAAACATGCTATTTGTCAAGTTTGAGTCCTTTCAAGACTCTTTTAAAAGGAACCGACCCTTTGAAACATTTGAGGTATTTTTGATCCATCCCCCTCTGAGTGATCATCGGTCCTGGTGGTGCTGTTGACTCTGGCCCGGTGGGTTCTTCAGCATCGCTCTGAGGTCATGTGTTTACCCAGCAGCCTGCAGAACAGAGGCTGCATGACATCATGACCCGGCAGCGCTGCCAGGGTTAACAGCGAGGAAGAGCAGAGGAGCGTTTCTGAATCTCTCACCTTCATGCTGAGAGCTGCAGATCCTCATGCTAACACTGTGAGCGAGTGAGGGAGTAGATCATTGATTTATGAAGAGAACTGGATAGAGGATGGAGGAGAGACTGTGCTTTCCCAAAGTAAGTCAATGGGAAAAGTAGTACCGCCGCTTGGCCACTATGAACATTTGCGTCAATGTCCGGCGCACTTCATGGGGGCTTGGGGTAGATAGAGGTTTGTAAACAGGAAGGACGTGCTGAAATCATTTATTCAACATGTTGGAATGGTGAAATGCTCAGCGATAGATGTGCAGGCCAACAAGTAATGCATATATTGTATTACCTATTATTTATTTAAATCATTTCATACAGTCATCCTAATTCATGTGGACAGGAGCGTGAGCAACATTTCCTTTCCCTTTCTGCAATCTTGTTTATTTGTCCCACATGCAACAACACTAAGAACGCATGAATTCTCCTTCACATCTTTCCTTAAGCCTATGACGTTTCCTTAAGCGAAAAGACATAGGAGCAGATTTTTTTCGACAATTCGACCGTAGCCAAGTACAGCAGAGGAAGCTGTGTGAAGAGTGTGCTGGAACATATGGCAGCATTCTGCCCTGACTGAGATAGACGCTCATTGTGTTCAGGTATGCTGATCCTCAATGGCCTGGATCCCTTTAAGTCAAGCTGCCGCTGCCAGACGTTAAATCTCATCATGCTCTGTCGCAGCTTAGGAGCGTCACTGGACTGTTGTTGGACATATTTACAGTTTACAGTACGTGCTTTTTGCTGAAAGATGTGAGGAGGAGGAGGGGAGCACATCTGTACGAGAATCTGCACACGTGGGCAGGAAGAAAACATGTGAATACCTTGTGTGAGGGTTGAGGTGCTGCAGAGGGGGGCATCCATCCTCCGGAGAGAGCACTGGAAGCATGTTGTCTCCTTCACTGTAACAAACAAAACACAAACAGTTTAACGCATTAATCTGTTGCAATGGGTCCTGACACGACAGTTCACAATGTTCTCTTTTAAAGGTCTTAAACCCATTTCGAGACAAAAACATACTATTGAATAAGTTAAAACACATGCAGGAATGCTTGCATGGACAAACAACAAACCCAAACACAATTATAAAGATATTAGCGGGTTTATTGTGAGGGCTTACAAATATTTTTGTGTGAGGATGCATCAGCTGTTGCGTATTTTGCGGAGAAAATATAGAACGTGCTGCTTTGCAAAACAGTCCAATAATGCACCGCTTCACACGTATTTGAACATAAAAGGAGTAGTTTGGATGTTTTGAAGTGAGGTTGTATGACAGTGACCATCTACTGGCGGCCCGCGGGTCAAATCTGGCACGCCAGACATTCTCATCCGGCACGTGCTGTGGCGCTGGCGGAGTGGTTCATTTTTTAACAACGTCTCGTGAGTAATGTGCAGTACCGGAGTCCAACAGAGAGGCAGCAGCTGCGGGACAGGGAGGGTGTTTCTCAATGTCGAGTAAAGCTGCTCCAGAGCCACTATCTCAAGCATACTACGTCATCGAGTGCCGCCGAAGGACTGTTCCAATGTCCAGCATACTTGGAATTCTACCGAGCCCGGCGTACTTCGTTTGGAGAAATGTCGAGGCTGCACATGTGTAGACTACGCGGTCTTAAAATCCCCACAATGCTTTGCACACGGACCAATTTCCCCAAATCTGTGGAGGAAAATGTAAGGCGGGGCCTCTCATATGACGCACACTTGATAGCCTGTTCCACTCTTTGTTTTCCGAATGCCAGGAAGGATTCTTGCCTCGCTTCTGAAGCAAGACGCTCGGAAGACATGTGCTACCAAGCAAGCGTACTCGACATTGAGAAACACCCAGTAGCCTTCCCTGCCCTGACGAAGAAGTGATCCTTCGTTATGAGGCTCCGGTGACTTGACAGTACATGAGCATGCTCCACTAGCACCCCCCCTCAACAACTTCAAAATTCAGGGCTATATATACAAATCGCTGGCCCCCGAAAGTGTCTCTAGGCATCATTTTGGCCCTTGGACCAATGTAGTTGGTGATCCCTGCTGTATGAGGTACTTCTCCACAGTGTGTTGGCTACAGTACTGTAGATGCAGTTTGTAGAAACAGGAGTACCAGCAGGAAGCTAACAATAAACTTCTGTGGACAGAAACCAAAAAAAGAATCAATGTAAGCTAAGGGGACTGCTTTATTGTTCATATGTTTACCTATTAAGCGTGCATTCAGATAGTCCTTTCTAACGGGGAATCAAAGCTGTAATCATCGCTCTCAGACACCAGACTCCATTGAAATGTAATGTAATATAGTTCATGGTCTAGAGCTGCCTTGACTGTTGAGTCTCTTCAAACTAACACTTTAAAACCCAGCTGGAAGTCAAATAAATCAACTCCGAGTTAACTTTTCATACTTTTATGCAAAAGTTTAAATGCAGGGCTTTCAGTTGAAGAAGTATTTCTTCACACTACTACTATAAAGTAAATGACCTGAATACCTTTTCCACACTGACTTAACTTAACAAAGTTAAGTGTTTCTGCTCTTTTCTTAAGGCAAATTTGCATTGACAACAACATCAGATGGTGGACATGTTCTGCTTCTTGTTTCCCGTCTGCTGTTTTCTGTCAAACTAGTCTTCTCTTTTCCCTTCCCTTCTCATCTCCTCTCTCCTCTCTCCTCTCTCCCCTCCTGTTTGTCCTGGCTCTGTCCATCATTAGTAGTTAATGAAAGGAGGCATTATGGGGCAGAGCTGGCTGTGGAGCTGCAGGACCATTAGAGGTTTGAGAGCCAACAGTAATGACTCCTCTCCACCAGTGTTTTAATTACTGTGACATCAGCTGCCCACACGGTGCTGTGGTGAAGGTAAAGATGTCAACAGAGAGAGCTGTGACACTGGAGACGTGTGCTCATTATGAGCTCCGGTAATGTCAAAGAGGTTGTCCAGTGTTTTCCTTTGACACATGGAGCACACAACAGGAGTTTGTCGATGTCAGAAGCGCTTTTCACTTACTGGAAATATACTCTTTGTTTAAAGGTCACCTATCATGCTATTTGTAGGCAATAGCAGATATATAAAAAATATAAAAAACATGTCTATGAAGTGTTTTGCTCAAAATATCAAACAGATCACCCATTCTATCCATGCCTCATATCCCTCTATTTCACTTCCTGTTTCAAAAGTGCTGATTTGGGGATAAAGCTTTAAAAAAAAAAAAAGTATGGGTCTGAGCTCATGCGGGACCCGGCAGCTACTGTCTAAACTAAATGCTGCCGTGATGAAACGCCATATCATGGATCATCAAGGATTCTCTCTGAAACAGTTTGGAGCTCAAAGGCTTTCTCTCTTGCCGGTTATACCACAAGGTGAGTTCCTTTTTACTTCCTGCTTCTTCACACACATGCTCTCCAGTACAGGTTAGCTCTGAGTGTTAGCGATGCTAATGTAAACACCGACCATATTACGTCCAAAACAATCAGGCATTGTTTCTGATAGCATTGTTTCTGATTGGACCGTGGGTCCACATTTCAGATATTACGTCATATCGGACGCAAATCTGGATCAGCTCCGTTGTTCCCCGTTTTTAGAGATTTGGGTACGGAGGAAAAGAGAGAGGGTTTTATTTTCTGACGCTGCGTGAGTTCCCCGACACACCGGGGACACATGTTTAGGTATACAAGACATCACAAAGTGCATTTTGCATGATAGGTCCCCTTTAAGGCAAGGGTTTGCTCCGGGGTGAAAGTGAGCAACAACAGTTGATGGCGAGTACGATGGAGAGTAGAAAGTTGTTGTAGGAATATTATTATGAGGGAAATTTGCATGAGTGTAGTTAGGGAAGGTTTTGTTTAGTAAATGAAACACTGATGGTGCAGGGATGTACTGATCCTCTCTGTTTAGGATTCTTTTGGCTACCAAAAATATTTGTGTGCTGGTCAGAAAGTTTCAAAGGGGGTAATTATTGAGGGTTGCAGAGCAAAGGGAAACAGTGTTTTCCTCACCATCACTACTGCTGTGACTCGGTCTCTCTTCAGCCTTTTCTCCCAGATTCCACATGTTCAGGTTCACCATGATTCCCAGCTCTCGGGCCAAGCGTCTGTATCGTGCGGTCCCAGGTGAGGCGAGGCGATTCTCTGGCAGACAGGCTCTGCTTTCAGCTCTTTATCACGAGTGGGGCCAAGGTGTCCGGGGAGAGGCCGGGGGGCTTTGTGTTGTTAATGCAGCAGACAGTGTCCTCAGTGACTGGGGGGGGGGGGGGGGCTCCGTACAACAGAGACATTTATCTGAGCTGAAGAGAGGAGCGGCATGACTTCACCGAGAGAGGAGCAGGAAATGTATCTCTGCAGTTTAAGGTGGAACAATCAGCAGTGAGAGCATATTCAGACCCTTCGCTAATGTAAAATAGCTCACGTCAAACGTTATGCAGATACAGAGTCGGACCAAAGGACTGAAAGGATATCTGCAAAAAGTATGATAATTTTTCTTTGTAACATTTTAAGTTTATGAAAGTTAAAGGTGGGTTAGGTAATTTTGGAGAAACCAGCTCGAGTGCGCTAGAATTTGAAAATACACAGCCGGAACAAATCTGCCACTTCCTTACAGAGCCCCTCCTCCAACACACACGAACGCGCACATGACCAATGAGGGCACGGGATGAGTTTGTGCACAGATGGAAGGCTGACAGGCAGGTAGGCCATCCAGTTACTTTAGCCGGGCCGGCTAAGATGATTGGTCGTGCTTTTTACAGCGCTACGGCTTCCACAGATGACATTTTTTTATGTATTTATTGTCAAAGCACTTAAGATATTCATTGCTATCGGGATGTTTAGAGCATTCCATGGAATATAACAAAAAGTGTATCTCGAGCCGGTTTCTCAAACTTACCTACCCCACCTTTAATGCACCGAATTATTTTTAATCCGTCGCATAATCTTGTTTATAGATCGGCTAAAAAAAAAATCCCCATAGGAAAAACTGCAGTAGGAAAAACGGCTGGTGTGAATCCTGGAACAAGATATTTTAGTATTAAAATATCTCCATGTTTTCTACAATTCCGGTTTTCACCTTTAAAGTTGTCATAACAAAGGATAGCAATGTTTGTTTTCACTCTTCCTCCCGATGATAGGATCCAAGCCAAGCAAACTATCTAGAATTAATCGATTAATGTTTAACATATTATCACAAGAAGACATAATCAGGATTTTCAATGACTTCTCCATGACCTTTACCTAATTTTCCATGACCAAAAACATTACTCTTTCTCAGCGGTACCACTGAAAATGGTTTATTTGAACATGGAACAGGAAAATAAGGTCTGAAACATGTTGTGCCTATCTAAAACAAATCAAATAGCTTACTAGCTTCTACACGCTAAAGCAGTGGTTCTCAAACTTTTTCTGTCAGGCCCCCCCTTTGGAGAAAAAAAAAAGCTAGGGTAACTTGACGTTTCATAGAGGGTGCTCAAACATTTAGGGTTTCCCATTAATGTACCGGGCGCTACAGAGGAATGTTCTACTGCAACACTCCCCACGCATACACACAGTCTACCCGCAACTGTTACAATGAAGGCTCAATAATCAGCTCACGGCATATAGGTGTAAGCAGGGGTCAAGTGTTATTTTTATAGGTGGTGTGTGGACCTCACATAGGGGGGTCCGGGGGCATGCTCCCCCGGGAAGATTTATTTTTAAATATTGAAGTTAAAAGCATCAATCTGGTGCACTTTGAGAGCAACATGAAGAGATCTATGGATACATCTCTCAACACAGAACTGTAAACAGATTTACTATTTCTTTATGGATATTTTACAAATCACTCCCCTTTTAAACGTTATACATTTTTTAATGTCATATAGTATTTCATAATTGTTTTAAATTTATTTATATTAATGGTGACCAAAACGTTTGAGACCCACTGAGATAACACTGAGAGAGTCCTTTAGCTCACTGAGTCTCTCAGTCTGACAGGAGAGGACTCTCCTCCACTTTGTTGTTGAAAAAACTCCTTATATCCGTTAGCGTAGCTCGCTAGCACCAGAAGCTAACAACAACGATCTCCGGTACCGGTGCGCTCTCTCTCTCTCCCGCACACACACAAAATGGCTCGTTCCACACACACACAGAGCTTTAATGAAACAGACACCCAGACGTAATAGTACTGTACTGTATCATATTATTTTCGAATCAATAATTTTTCAAAATATGATTTTTATTTTTTTTTTTATTTAAAATCTTTTTAATTTTTTTTTTTTAATAACCATTTTTTCTCCTGGTCTCTCGCGCCCCCCTGTCATGCCTCTGCGCCCCCCTGTGGGTGCGCGCGCCCCACTTTGAGAACCACTGCGCTAAAGCAACTAAAATCTCTCTCCAGCAAAATACCTCGTCAGTTAAATGCCATTTTACGTTTCATTACTATACGATACAGTATTTATTATCATTATAGTGTTATACTATTTTGGCGATTAGCTAAAATATAAATTATATTTGATTAAACTTTAGTTACATTTCCATGACTTTTCCAAAACTTTTCCAGGGCCTTGAATTTGCATTTTGAATTTCCATGACTTTTCCAGGTTTGTAATGACCGTAAGAAGAACCCTGCATAATGATGTAAAATCCAATATTTACCCCAAAAAGCAGAATAAGTTCCCTTTAGTCCCATTTTCTTACTTTTATACAAACTGTTCATAATCAGTGGGTCGATGGATTTACTAATCATGACTTTATAACATACAGTCGATGCTTATTATACGTAGCTCAATGGATTACGTTTTTTGTGTTGATAAAAAATATTGTGAAAGAAAGCTTTCCTTTTATACCGTTTACAGGTAATGTCGTTTATATGTGTAAGTTTAGAGAAGCTAAGTATTTTATGAACTGGGTGGATACAAGTTGTTTCAGTGTATTAGACGGTAACAAAAATGGACATTTATTTATATGAGAAAGTCACGGCTGAGACAGCGAAGTCAGGAGCCATGTGGATCCCCCTCGTCATGGAAGGCAGAAGAGGTCATAATATTTATTTAAAACACTTAAAGTATAGGTAAAGCATTCAGAGCAGGACTCGCTCATCTGGAAGCTAATCTGTGATTTATGGAGCCACGGAGGAGAGGTGAAGCTTTAAAGTCTGAACAGAAACTCTGCACGGTCTGAGACTCAGGGATCAGCCGGACTGTTTCACTGCTGACAGAGAAAACACACACACACACACACACACACACACACACCACACACACACCACACACACACACACACACACACACACACACACACACACACACACACACACACACACACACACACACCACACACACACACACACACACACACACACACACACACACACACACACACACACACACACACACACACACACACACAGGCTAGTAGTGCAGCTACACACATACTGCATGTTCACAAACCTGCAGGCACAACATGCGAACTAATAGAGGGAAATAAATAAAAACACACATTTTGAATACATAGAAATGGATGCATTTACACACACACAGTTTGAGGACCTCTGCTCCCTTCTGACAGTCATCTGAAAGCAATCTAAACTCTGTGCCCATCTGCTCCACTCCAAGGCCTCCTCTCCTTTCTGTCAGTGAATGTCAATCGTCACAGTAAACAGTAAAATCCCAGTTTCAGTGTTAGCTGCTGCCGGCATCCATTCCTTAATGCCTTTCATTTCAGCTTATCAACGCCGCTCATGGATCTCCAATGACATGCTGTAATTGTATGCCTAACTGACCATCATATCTGGGCTCCTTGTAGAAAAAAACATGCAAGTTTTTGTACATTAGTTTTGATCTGAAGACCTCAGCATTTGTATTTACCGCCAGTGAAATCATAACAGATATGTTTACCAAAAAAGGGGCGGGGCCATGAAGGTAAAAGGACTCACCTGATGGTTGCTCTCATGTGTACGAGTAACGAAACTAGAAATGATTCACATTTGAGAAGCTGAAATCTGAGAATACTGAAAACCCAAATGGATAAATACATTTTCAAAACAGTTTGGGGTTCATTTATTATTTGACAATGTGAAGATCCTTTTCCCCAGCTCGAGTTGCTTTACATATTGTGATCCAAAATAAGCAACATGCGCACCATGATGGTTTTACTGCATTACTAGATATGGTTTATGTTTGTAACATCAATGACTAAATGTGTGTGTGATGTGTGTGTGAGTCTTTGAGCTCCTGTCATTGTCTTGTCACGCGATGTGTGTGTGCATCTGGACGCCGGAAACTAAAAACCAGACGAGTGACCCCCCCCCCCCCCCCCCCCCTCCCTTTGTGTTCTCCCAGTAGGTCGTCTGGTGTGAGCAGAGGAGGATCCCAGAGCTGAGACGAGAGCAGAGGGCACAGAGGGAAGGCATCTGTACGCTTGCTGACAGGAAAGAGCAAGATGGAGCAGAAAAATGTGCAAGTTCCAGAAAAACACAAGAAAAAAAACAAGCGGCGCCAAAATATTTGCACTTTCTCCTCCCTATGTTTGACATGTTTCTGTGTACGTGTTGTTTTTCTCTGGAAGTGACTGAAAAAGGCCGAGGTAAGAATGAGGATATATTTGTGAAAAGAAGACCACTGGAGGATGTTTCCACGTTTCCCCTCGTGTTTAGTCTGCCTCACAACAGGCACATTTTGTGGCTATTAAATTTACATTCCCCCGTTACATATAGGAGCCCAGCGGTAACTCGCAGTGAGTCAGAATGATGCTCGACACTCAGAAGGAGGAGCTAAGATCATGTAGAACAATTCAGAGGAATGTTGTGTGTGAGCATTAATGAGTATGACTATTAAACTGTGACCATGAAGTCTAGTGTGTCAGCACAGAGAAAGCTGTCTGAATCCCCTTGCACTGTACAGATAAATTAACATTTTGGCAAATGTGTTTTTGCTCAGTTTATATCTGTGTCGGGAAAAGTTAGCTGAAAGAATTATAATCTTGGAACGCAGTCAGTAAAGGTGTACTTCTTGTGCAGGCAGAAAGCAATGCATGTGGTGTGTAATCCACATGTCGGTGTGTTGTCTGCACAAAATGCCTCGAGGACTTCATTGCTTTTGTACTTGTGTATAAAGTCTGGGCGATTGAGAAATAGGCTTTTTAGAGTAGCTGGTTTTATTGATGCAACTTCTCTACCGTCCCTCTAAAAGTTCATATTCAATTCAGTTCATCAAATACAAAATGTGTTATTAATACTAATAGTTCAAACCATCATGAAAAAGATGACTAAAAATCTGATTTGTCAACAAGGTGTTTTTGTTCAGTACCTATCGCTCAATGAAATAACTTCATTAATAACTTACCACACATAGACTTGAAGGTGTTAGTGCAACCAGATCAGTGTGTAACCAGCATGTTGTCTGCAAAGAACGCCTTTGTTATTTTTGTACTTTTGTATAAAGTTTGTGCTAACAAGAAATAGTCTTTCTACAGTAGCTGGTGTTAAAGGATGTCCGGATACACATCACTGTCCTACTGTCTCTATTTGTATAGGAATAAAATACAATACAATCATAAATCAGGCAATCAGAGAGCACGTTGTGAAGTGTGTTATTAATATTAACAATCGTATTAATTAAGATGGCTTTAAGTTAAAACCACAATGAAGGAAATTGATTTAAACATGTTTGTTTTTGTTCATCACAGTCTGTTGCAAAGATGTAAGCACTTCATTTCTTACCACACAGATACATGAAGTACTTGTGTGCAACCAGAAAGCAATGCAGGACCATTATGTTGTATGTTATTAGCATGTTGTCTGCACAGATGCATCAAGGGCTTCTTTGTTTTTGTACTTTTGTATAAAGTTAGATCAACACTCTCCATTACATCACTGCTCTACTGTCTATAAAGGTCATGTCCATCAGGTTCCCACATGCATCCAATAAACAGCTCATTTGTAAAATGTGTTATTAATAATAAAATAATATCGACTAATGCAGCTTTAAGGTCAAACCACAATGAAGGAAATTGGTTTTCACATATGTTGTCACTGTTATTGTAACTTTGTGTAGTTCCAATGTGGCTACTTTTATTAGTTAATGTGCATTTTCTACACAATCAAACCTGACTATTTTAAATGTGTTAGTGGTGGATTCTGCATGTCTCGTTTGTTTTATCATCTGACTCCGTCTTCCCATTACAAATCGCAACAACGTCAACAAACCGCAGACCCCCTGGTGGGGATTAGATTTTCCAAAACAGGTTACGATGCAGAGACTTTTTCTTTTAAGTACCGGGAAAAATGAGGTGTTTCAGATGACTAACCCCAGACAGTAAATGTAGTAAGATGTTTACACGTCTCAGTGTCCCGTTAATATCTGCCGTCATGTTCTCCCGTTATTGTAAACAAGATGTGGCCTTTACTAAAAGCCCGGTCCTAAAAATAAATATTTGAGTGTCCCAAGAAACACCGGAGTATATTTTGTGTATGTAAGCTCATGTATTGTCTGTGTAAAACATACTTAGATGTGCCACCCCAGAGCGTCTGAAGAAGAGGGAAAAGACAGAGGAAGAAATGAAAGTAAATAAATAACCTTATAAACATGTTTTGGAATGTAAATAAAAAAATCTTCCTCACATTTGGGAACAATTGAGTTTTTAATATTGCCGTGTTTGTGGTTTAAATGCCTGTTTTTGAAGTTGTGTGTTCATCTGCATACCTCCAAGGGTAAATCCATTGTGCATATGTAAAATAATGATTGTTTAACTAAATGTTACTATGGGCTATATGTCACTTACTTCTCTGTCAGTCTGACTTATTGCAAGAAAATACTTCCTGTGTGTTTACATGGAGTCAAACATTACAGTAGCTAATTCACGTGAAATGCTTAGCCCAGTCTGTGTTTAATGTTCTCTGAGCGCTGTTTATTTAATGTGCGCCGGGGTTATTTGACTATTTCAGCTGGTGTTTTACGACTCCTGTCATCATGACACTCTCTGCAGAATGCACACAGTGTCTATCTGCTGCTTAATCCACTACAATCACAAATTCAGTCACGTCTCATTGGAAGCGGACGGTTTTGCCAAGAAGTAGAGAAGAGAAACGTGTTCCTGCTGCAGGCCGAACACTGAGCGCTGTGTCTGCTGAACGTTTCCAGACCAGCAGCAGAGCACATGCTAACAGGCTAGTAATCACTGCTAATCATGGGGGGGGGGGGGGGTTGAAGCGAATGTGGCCTACAGATGACTGTCAGTCTGACGGGGAGCAGCAGTGGTGAAAGAAGATTTGTTTTAGTCAAAGTAGCAAAACTGAACTGCGAGAATACTCAGTAAGAACAAATCCTGCATTAGAAATCTCACTCAAAGAAGCCCTTCTATTATTTTTAAGTGGTTTCCCTCATAGTGTGTAAAATAGGTTTTAGTGCATGTCAATGGTCTGCAAAGGCTAAAATCCCTGTGTTCCCTCCAGAGGATATTTCTCTCCCACACACTCATTTAAATGACTTTATATACTCATGCTGGATATTTTAACCTATAATTAAAGTGTATTGGTCAGTTATATTTTGTATTAACTTATAATCTGTGTGAAGTAACTACAGCTGTTAAGAAATATAGTGGAGTAAAAGTACAACAATTCAAAGCAGAATGATTAGAATACTGTCTTGCTGAGCTTCTTGGTAACCTTTCCACTGAGAAGCATCTAAAAGTGTTTTCACAACATTTATTATTACTAGTTGGAGAAGTGAGATCTACTCAGAGGCGTGTTGTCTTTGGGTCGATGAACATTAAGTGGCTTGAGGTGCAGATGTATGGCTGTGCATGAACACACAAAATACTTTACTGCTTTATCATAGGCCTGATCTTTGTGAACCAATAGACTGATAAAAGAACAAAAGAAGAGTACAAATAAAACACTTTTATGAAGTGCATCCTGGCACACAGCAGCTGCAGACACCTGGGTTTGTAAACCTTTTCTGAGAATGTTCTGAACTGAAACACACATTTGAAGTGTCCATAATGAGAAAAAGGTCTGCAGATGCCCTTCATCAGGACATCTGAAACACAAGCATACCAGGGATTATTTGTACTTAAAGGTGGGGTAGGTAATTCACTTCAGAAACACTTTGTTATATTCCATGGAATGCTCTTAACATCCTGATAGCAATGAATACATTAAATGCTTTGACAATAAATACATACAAATATTTCATCTGTGGAAGCCGTGGCGCTGTGAAAAGCTCGACCAATCATCTGAGCCTCGGCTAAAATAACTGGATGGCCTACCTGCCTGTCAGCCTTCCATCTGGGCACAAACTTATCGTGCCCTCATTGTGCGCGTTCGTGTGTGTTGGAGGAGGGGCTCTGTGAGGAAGTCTGAAGGAAGGGGCAGATTTTTTGTAATTTCAGATTCTAGCGCACTCGAGCTGGTTTCTCCATTCTTACCTACCCCACCTTTAACCTTTAGACTATAAAGGAACTACAGCACAGACATGACTTTATTTCACCACAGCTGAGCTAAAGGCGGCTAATGTTCAACATGATGATTGTAAGACATTTTATGAGGACACTTTTTAGCATCCGCTGTTTTGATGACACGTGCTTCAGACAATTTTCTCCTAGAACAGTGGTTTATATTTAGGGGTGCACCGAATGGGAAATTCTTGGCCGAAACCGATACCGAAAATAGGAAACAGTTGGCCGAAAACCGAATGCCGAAAGGCCGAAAATGATTAATAGAAATATATATATATAATGTATACATTTTTTACCAATGTTGTTCAGCTACCTGATTATGGAAATAGACATGATTATGGCAAAACTTAACTTAAATAATAATCACTATTATGGGTCCATAAAACATTTATTCAGCACTTTTGAATGCATACAGTACATTTATATATGTCATGTATTATTGCTAAAAAACATGATATCGCAGTCTTAGTGTCGCCAACTCGTTTCTAATATGCAAAGACAACAAATTCGTCTATGATGTATTTTCGATCAGACGAGATCTCTCTCCCCCGTCTGTGTGCGAGGGGGCGGGGCAGTTTACACACACGCAGCTGCTACATGCAGCGGAGCACACTGCGGAGATGGCGGAGAGAACGCGCTCCGAGGTGTGGTTAAACTTTACCCGTCTCGATGTGGAGAATACTTGTTACCATAAGTGCAATAAGAGTTTAGCATGTAAGCACGAGCAATTTGTCTAAACATTTATCAAAAGTGCACCGCATGCAGACGGAGGAATGTACCGGGTTCGACCGTCTTTCTAGCAGCTCTGTAGCCCCATCCACGAGTAACGTTTCCACGTCAGGTGTTATGTATGCTAGCAGCAACACACGGAGTTAACTCCATGATACAAACATGGGTTAATGATTAGAGGAAACTGAGTTATTTAGTTTGTTAAAATGTCAGCTATTCTCTTTACAGTCTATCATCAGATTATTTAATACGATTTGTTAAAGGCTCAGGGCAATCTCGATGACAAAGGTCAATGTCCCCCCCCCCCCTGTGAGCCAGCCGCGAGCATGGTCGCCGCGTCTTTATTACGTCATCACAACAACACGTTAGGTTACCAACGTAAGCCTGTTCTGACATTCGGTGATATTTTTTCGGTGCTAAAACCCTTTCGGCCGAAAGCCGAAAGGGCCGTTTTAACCATTTTCGGCCGATAATTTTCGGTGGCCGAATATTCGGTGCATCCCTAGTTTATATACAGTCTATGATCTATGCACAAACTTATCTCGTGCCCTCATTGGTCATGTGCGCGTTCGTGTGTGTTGGAGGAGGGGCTCTGTAAGGAAGATTTTTTCGGCTGCGTACTTTCAAATTCTAGCGCACTCGAGCTGGTTTCTCCATTATTACCTACCCCACCTTTAACATGCTGTTATTTAACAATACGTTTATAAATGATGAAGTTATTTCCCCCTTTCTTTTTTCAAGAACTACAATGCTTCTCTTCTCACTTGACTTTTCATAGATGTTGTGTACCACATCTAATCACACTGCACGGGGTTTACACCATAGGTTTACACTCAGTCCTGTGCAGTAAAGAGGCATTTAGAGCTGAAGAAAGAGTTGACTGCTGCCCCCTAATGGTGAAAATGCTTCACTGCAGACTGCACATATTGACCTCTGTGTGCAGGTATTCAACACATGCTACATTCAACACATTGAATTCCTGGAACTGACAATAAATATCTTTACAAAATGTGATGTTATATGTCTTGCAATATTTCGAACTTTAATGGGGACTCATGTGTAACTTTGTATTGGAAACCTAGCACTAAAACTGACTTGAAAATGGACGGAGGATATTTTAAGAAGGCATAAAAAACAGATGAATACACAGATGAATGTGTCTCATATAAACAAAACTACCCTTAATGTAGTGGGTCGAACAAACCATAACTAAAAAACTAAGAAGAAATTAGAAGAAATTGTAAAAAAGGTCAAATAATTTAGAAAAATTAATAAGAGCAAGAAGCACAAAGAAGCTAAGATACAAAACTGACCAATCAGAAGACAACAATCTTACGAAAGAACAATATGTGTGAGAAAATATATATTTAGTCAAGAACATTTTTAAATAACGACTTAAACGTGATAACAATTTCCATTTTCTGAGATTAACCTGTTTTAATAAACATTTGATTAGATGGATTCCCTGATTTAGTGATGGGACTTCAAAGGTGCGGATGTTGTCAGTGCATGATGGGAGGCATGGGGGGGGGGGGGGGGTCTGGTGATGGGGGGGTTTCTGAATGGGGGAGGCGGGGGGTTGTATCACAGATGAAACTGGAGCCACAGGCAGCTGCAGTACATCTGTCTTGTACCGACACATGTGGCTTTTGACTTCCAGTGTGAAGTTCAAAAGAGTCTGTAATGACGCAGCTGCTTAGGGATGTAAGAGTGTGTGTGTGTTTTTTTAGAGAGTGTGTGTTCTCTCCTTTGTTGGAGGTGGGGTGGAGGGAAGGGGTTTCATAGGTGAGGACTGGAATTTGGGGTTTTGAGAGAAAGTGACGTGCGTGCAGTACAGGTGCTGCAGTCATGTTTCAGAAGCTGTGTTTCTAACATTTAGCTAACCTAACTGACGTGGGGATATTTATAAGGTATACAATGTAGCATTTCTGCATTAAAACACCTGAACCATGCTATGTATTTATAGAGTTGTGTAGTTTCAGAGAAATCAGTATCATTGTAATAGAGTAAAGTTCCTCTGTTCTCCTGTAATCTGTTCTGAGTATTCATGTGTTGCTGTTTATCAAGTTTTAATCCACATTTGTATCATATGCTTACTCAAATCTGGATCTGAAGTTATCAGAGGAACAAGCTGAGCTAATGTTAGCGCTAAGCTCGTGAACTCTCCATCCTAAATCCATCAGAAGAACCCAGATTTTTAAGGTGAAACGTATTTATTCGATTGTTTTGAGTCTGTGTGTTTTGGTAGAAAGGAGATAATGTAATGTGTATAATTGGGCTGCCAGTTCAATCTTCCTCCACTTTTGGATCTGAAGTCATCAGAGAAACACGTTGAGCGGCAGCCGAACAGCGTGAAGGACACACTAAGATTTTTAACATCACATTTTCCCTTTAAAACTGTTTGTATCCGTCCTGGAAAAACAATCAATTTTGTACGTTTAGAAAGTACTTTTAACAAATTCTACTCATAACTACTACGAGCAAATGTTTACTAATGTTGCATGTTTAGATACAGTCTTGAATTTGAACAAAGAACATGGAGGAACACAGGATATCTGTACCTGTTAGAGTTGCATCAGAGCACACCTTATATTTCACATCCCCACATGTTTTGGATGTGATCGTATTCAGTGGTTTCTCCTTTGGTCGCATTGAAACACTTAGAAACAAATCAAACACCATTACAGGTAATCAGAGGGCAATCAGCCAGCTAAACATTAGCAGTAGGGGGGGGGGGATGATGCCCAGCACCTGCCCTGCAGCCGGGCCTGTGCAGGGTCAGGGGTCTGCCTGCAGGGGGGGGTCAGGGGTTAGAGTTCACGCTGCAGACAGGCGTATCGTCACGGTGATGCAGAGCTGCAGGAACACAGCTGCTCACAGGTGGACGACACATTTTACCCCCCCCCGTGCTAATGATGTTTTACTCTCTTTTTGCTGTGCTACAGATTGGTGGTGAATATAAAGTGTGACAGCAAGGTCAAGCTTCATCTATAATATATTATTTGTTCATCATATTTGCAGTAATTTTTTTATTTTTTATATTGCCATTTTTTATCCAATATGCTCCTTTAGATATCTTTTTACTTATTTTTCCTTATAGCTTTGTGAAGCACCTTGATATGATGTCTATATAAATCAAATGTATTATTATTAGTATTATTAGTATTATTAAGTATAAGTCACTCAAATGATCCTACAAATGTAGAGGAGATCAGTTAGGGTGCTTTGGAAAGCTGTTGTTGGAGTATTCCATAGATGACATCAGAAATGTTTTACAGTCCCTAGAAAGACTTAAGGAGATGCACGTGACACACACACACACACACACACACACACACACACACACACACACACACCACACACACACACACACACACACACACACACACACACACACACACACACACACACACACACACACACACACACACACACACACACACACACACACACACACACACACACACACACACACACACACACACACACACACACACACACACACACACACACACACACACACACACACACACACACACACACACACACACACACACACACACACACACACACACACACACACACACACACACACACACACACACACACACACACACACACACACACACACACACACACACACACACACACACACACACACACACACACACACACACACACACACACACACACCTAAAGCACGTGTCTGTGCAATTGCCAGAATGCCAACTCAGTGTTCGACATGCAAATGAGCTGCATGTTAGCACTGACCTGGGACCAGTCGCCTTGTTTCTTTGAGCGATAATGTGATGTGTGTGTGCAACAGAGGAACTGATCCTCAGTCAGTTTCAGGACAGGACGGCGATCAGCTGATCCTGAGAACCAGAGGCCTTCCTGTCAGGACAGCAACAAATTCACCAGCTGGGTGAGACTTCATCACTGGGAGTGTGTGTGTGTGTGTGTGTGTGTGTGTGTGTGTGTGTGTGTGTGTGTGTGTGTGTGTGTGTGTGTGTGTGTGTGTGTGTGTGTGTGTGTGTGTGTTCACTGAGGAACATTTACAGGGTCATATCTGACACTCAGGGATGAAGACGGGATCAACGTACGACACTACGGATCAGTGGTGAGAACTTGAAAGAAAATCATATCGATTCATCTGGAGATTATTTTCAGATTAATCAACTGTCTTTAAAATAAGTCTACAGTGATGTCTCTTCAAAGTCTTGGTTTTTAACTTTTCTGACATTACATCGCTGCATAGTCTGCATTTTGCAACGGTGTCGCCATGTACTGTACAGTGTTCATCTTGTTTTTTTTAAATACAGATGAAACTGTTAAGAAAGAAAAAACCTCCAAGTTCATTCACATTTCAAATTAATATTCAATATGTGAAACAACGCGTTTACTATTTGGTTTTTAATGACTGCAAGCTACGTGAACATTTTTCAGAGTGGTTGTTCATCTCCCAGCGACCACTGACTGGATTTACATTTTTCTCTCACTTTTTGGATTTGTATTTTGGAGGCGAGCGGTCTGCTCACCTCCACGGCACCACAGGTATTGAAACAAACAAGTATAACATTTGTTTGGATTTGTTTAGTTATTTCTGATTCAAATATATTGTGTTTTTTTCGGGATCTGATGAAATAAATTGGCACGTTTTTATTTAATGCTTCAATCATAACACGTTTTCTTTTGCACATTTGTCTAGAAGTGAAAGTCTACACATTTTAATACAATGTGTGTCCCCTTGCTATATGCGTTGATATTTAATTTCATCAAATATCAACGACAAAATCCTTTATTACTCTGAATACTGGTGAAATATTTGTGTCTTATCAGCGACAGAAGTCCGAGATAAATGCACAAACATCTGGAGGGAGTGATTTAACGTCTCAGATCCACCAATGGCGTCGCAGGAGGTTTGTTTGTTTTAATACATTTTATAACAAATGAACATAGTCTGACAGAAGGAGCTCTATCAACCACGTGTACTCATTAACATTGTACATGTTGCCAGTGTGTGAAAATACTGAGGTAACCTTTGACCTTTATAAGCAGTCGTAGGGTGGCTTATGTCTGAAGTGCGTACTTGAAATATAATTAGAGAAATGGACTCACCCCATGTAACCGTGAAGTATACAAATTAAAGATAGCATGGGGTGAGTAACAGATATATAAATGGTCATGGCGAGGGTGAAATATTCCTTTAACAAAGAACTGAATGTGACTGACCTCCATTGTTTCAGACCCGTCTGACAGCCACCCTCCTGACCTCCATCCTGGCCGTGGTGCTGGGGTCGCTGCAGATCGGATATCACACCGGGAATGTCAACGCTCCGGCCAAGGTGAGCAGCTGGGGGGGAAATAAACACATTAAGTTATCAGAAATCACATCAGATTTTTTTTAACACAGAGATGTTGTGAAATCTTCATGTTTAGTCTTTTTTTTAATGAAATCAATACTTTTATTTTGTAATCAAAGGACCCCTGTAGTGGTATTTAGCACAAAGGCCTCCAATAAGAAACATTGAAAACATAATATGCATTCTACAAAGCTTTGCAGAAAGGCCGAAAATTAAGTATAGAGAAAGAAAAATGACATTTGAATAAACTTTTGCATAAAGACAGTGGACAAGCTAGTCCTGGCTTCTTCTGCGAATGAAAACACTCTGAATATCTTGCTGAGGTTGATGCAGGGGTGAGTGAGCGTTAAACAAATATCTCACTGTCTCAATAAAACACTGAATAAATGTAACAACCTGAAACTGTGCGGCTCTGCTCCAGCTCTGCCAGAGTTTCCTATCTCACAGCTACACCGCACTACATGTCTGCAAGTGAGGCAGAACTGCAGCCACATTCCACAGAATACTTAAATACTTTTTAACCAAGTTACCAATGTCTAAAAACAACTACATCTAGAGAAAAACAAGCTGAGCTAACGTTAGCGGCAGCCGTACAGCGTTCAGGAGAAAGGCTGGTTTTTTTTACGTCAAACTGAACCTTTATTCACTGTATTTACTGCTCTGTATCAAAATCTCCTGAACCATGAACACTGAAGGAATCCTCACCAAGAGGAGCGGAAGACTACAACTCCCATGATCCCACACTTCTTGACGACACCAGCAAACTCCAGCTTTTGTTTAGTTTAGACTGAGAGACCCCTAGTGGCCAAAAATACAGATTGTGCATTTAAAGAGACAACATACATGACATACCATGCTTGGTTACTATAGTTTACTTATGTGCAAGCAACCAAATTACTTATTTTGTTATCAGTGTTATTAAAGGACCCCTAGCTGCAGAAAATGACATCCTGCTTTTAATGTTCAGTGATGAGATAACAATCTCTGTTTGAATGTTGACAATATTTTCTAATGTGTTTTTCTTTAGATCATCGAAGAGTTTTTCAACCACACATGGAGAGCCAGGCACAACCAGTCGATGCCAGATCACAGCCTGACGCTGCTGTGGTCGCTCTCCGTCAGCATCAAAGACTTCGGAGCCTTACTGGGATCACTGGGAGTCAAATACCTGGCAGACTCTTACGGAAGGTTAAAAAAAATACACTTTGTTCCTATATTTTCCATTATGGCTGTGAGAATTTGAAAAAATAATTGATTATAATTATTTTTGAATGATATTGCTAATATGATATTTGCGTCATTATCATAACCATTGAAGATTATATTAAAATGATCATGGAATGGATTTGAACTATAATCCAGCATTATCTGTGGTTAAACATAAGCTTTTATCTTGTGTTCCTTTTCCTGTCTTGTTTTACTTTGACACTATCACAGTAACAGTTAGACATTTTCAGTGTAACTATAGAAAAAAATAGTTTAAAGTAACATTTTCCAACCATTTTCTTCCAACTTCTCCAATGGTTTGAAGAGGATCTGTACCAAACAAATATATTTTGTAAGCCGCGAAATCTCTGCAGCTCCACATCAAATCTTTCTAAACAGCTTTAATTTCCAGCGCTGTTCTGTCTTTGTGATCCTCCCCCCCCCCTGCAGGCGTAACTCCATCCTGATCGTGAACTGCCTCTCGGTGGCGGGGGCGGCTCTGATGTCGGCCTCTAAAGCCTGCCGCTCCTTCGAGGTTCTGATCCTGGGGCGCCTGGTGTTCGGGTTGTTCTGTGGCCTGGTGATGAGTCTGAACCCGCTCTACATACAGGAAGTGTCGCCCACCAACCTGAGGGGGGCCTTCGCCACGCTCAACCAGGTGTCCTTCGCCTCGGGCATCCTGGTGGGAATGGTGAGGACGGAGAAGGAGAAATATGACGATGCTTGTCCAGGGTTTGTTACAAAATGGTGGCTTTCTGTACGGACATTATGTCGATTGATACTTTAATTTGACCAAATGGAGTGATAAGATGTATCAAAGGTCACCTATTATGCAAAATCCTCTTCTTCATGTCTCTTCTACATCAACATGTGTCCCCTCTGTGGAAAGAGACTCTGAAAGTTTCAGGAAAAAAGATTCTCTCTTTTTGTCCGGATCCATTTATGAAAACGAGCTGATCAGATTTTGCCCACTTTATGATGTCATAACGATTTTTTTGGATTGTGTAACCATCAGCCAATCACCAACCAAGGTAACCCCCCCCCCCCCCCCCCCCCCTTATCACCTGAATCTCCTCCTAGAGCACCATTGTGTTCTTTGTAACCAAGTCTCTCTCAGAGGGGCGTGGGGAGGGGCTCCTTATTTTCATCTAAAGTAACAGACAGAGAATCAGCACTTTGGAAACAGGGCTGAAACAGAGGGGATTATGGGTAATGCTGCAATGATCTGTTTGGTGTTTGGAGCCAATCACTTCAGAGACATGTTTTGTATCTATCTGAGACCTGTGATATATTGATGAAAAACAGTATAATAGTGAACCTTTAAGACCTGGATATTTAGTGAAACTGATGTTCCTGTGTGTGCAGGTGGCCGGCCTGGAGACGGCTCTGGGCACGGAGCACCACTGGGCCATGATGCTGTCCCTGTCCGTGGTCCCGGCCCTGCTGCAGTACATGGTGCTGCCGTTCTGCCCCGAGAGCCCCCGCTACCTGCTCATCAACCGGGGGGAGGAGAGCAGGGCGGAGGCGGGTGGGAACACGCTTTAATACTTTAGTCCTTAAGCTTGAGTTATAGCAGAGAGATATCCAACAGGGCAGCCGTACGGTGGCCGGAAAGGGAAAACAAAACGGAGAATTTCCAAGTTCTGAGCAACGTGCTGCCACTTTAGATTCATTACCAATGACTTAATGGCATTGTTTATGAAGCTGCAACAAATTATCCTAACGAAGATTGCAGCCACAGTTTAGAGAGAGAGTTGAGCTAAATAACTTATTTCATCAGTTTTTAGATGCATGGCTGAATTCAAGGAACCATGCTTTCAATGCGCTCGAGTATCACAGCTCCTATATGAATGAGTATGAATATGTTGTTGTACCTATGCAGCGCTGCTGAGGCTCAGAGGATCCTCGGAGAAAGTGTTTTCTGAGCTGGAGGAGATGAAGTACGAAGCGGCACACACTCAGACCGGAGTCACCGTCCACGAGTTCTTCAAGAAGGGCCGATACAAGCAGCCCATCATCATCGTCCTCATCATCAACCTGGGCAGCCAGCTGTCCGGGTTCAACGCGGTCAGTGTCCGGAAAACGCAAATAGATTAAGAAAACATTCTGGTAAAATAGGACGAAGATACTACTCGTAAAAAATGAATTTGAAGTCTCCTAGGAATATGTTTTAATTCATGTAAATGCCTTTAAGGTAAAACGACTGTATTCTATTTTAGCGTGGCTTGCTCACAGTGTGATGAATATTTCACTTGCAGCGCTGTAGTATTTATAAAATGCATTATTCAGGATCAGCACTCTGACTCAGATTCTGGGGCAGTGTGTCGGGACAATACCCCGTCCCATAACACAAAGAGAAGTCCCAGTAACCCACTAAACTAAAATACATCTCTGCTCTTTATTTCAGATCATCAATTATTCCACCAGAGTGTTCCAGGCCAAGTTCGATCAGGCCAAATACCTGACGCTGGGGGTGGGGGCCGTCAATCTGACCTTCACTCTGGTGGCGGTGAGTGCAAAATCCTCGAGTCTTAGCTCATATTTGGTTAACAAAAAAAATTCTGAAATATTCCTAAAATACGAATTATTAAAATGTCTTATAATGTCATTACTTTCTGTTAGAGGCATGTTTAAAAAACATAGACAGTGCCTGCTGTGGTACTATAGATATAACAAACATTTAGAAGGACATGTAAACGTTTTAAAGTGGAAGCAGCGATTTATAATAATAATCATAAGTATGATAAAAGACTCAAATGTAATTGATTCATATTTGGTATTTATACTATATTTTATATATTGATTGGCAATGAATATTAACACCTTGAATTTTAAAGGTAATTTAAATAATTCTCAGAAAGTATGGAATGAAAATGTGTTTTAAAATGAAGCAAATCAGGGCGAAGATACTACGGGTGAAATTTGTTTGAAGGACATTATTCAGCAAATTGTGTCACTTTGTACATTTTGCCAGATATTGGACCTTGGATGAAACGGTTCCATTTCCTTATAAAATAAAATGTCGCAGCCAAAAGGGTGACTGTGAGCAGAGACACCACTGTGTTGTTTTTCCTTTAAGTTCTTCCTGATGGAGCGGGCCGGGCGGAGGAGATTGCTCCTGACGGGTTTCATCTCTATCGCCGTGTGCAACCTGCTCATGACCATCGTGGATTCTGTGGTGGTGAGATGAACCTTAGTGTGATTTCGTATTTTCATTTGTGCTCAAAAAATGTATTTCAATTATTGCATATTACCAGGAAAGCTTTGACAAACCTGGTAAGAGCTCGATAAATGAATCTATATTATCAGTATAACCGTTTACAGCCAGTTTACAGAAGTGAGAAGTGGAGCAGATTTAAAAAATAGTTGCTGGGGTAAATTATTTATGATGACTATACTCCGGACTTTTAGATGAGTTCCTGGCATCATGCTCAGTCAAAGACCTCACATTAACTAAATGCACCGTATGTTTTTGTGCCATTTCAAGATTTATAAGCTCATTTCTATGAATATTGCCATGCCATGATATCGGGATTTGCAATTGTTTGGCCAAAATAAAAGGGAAATGTTCATATAGCTTCACGCTTACCTGGTTTCCACATCTACAACAAACATTCAAGAGAATCAGTTAAGCACATATTGTGTCTGATTGTTTGAGGAGGCTGGAAATAAAGATTGTCATTGCTAACTGTGATGGAAACTTCTGAAGCAATGGAGACTCAGAGAGACACGGGGCGGGCAGGAACTTTGATGGCAAACCCTGACGGTTTATTTGGAGCTTCGGCCGGAGAATTCACAAGACATGTGTTCTGTTTCTGAAGATCTCTACCCCAGACCCAAGTATCTAGCTGGTTCTGAGAGAATAATCAACATAGTGCATAGCAAGATAAAGCGCTATAATAACACCTCTATCAGCTGATGCCAACAGGCAGGAACAGGAAGACAAAACACTGAGAGCAGCCCAAGGTTCTGTTCAATGAGGAAACTGATGATAAACTGGGTCAAAGTTATGGGCCAAGGAAAACATTTCCCCAACACTAACTACGCCCTTAACTCCTGCAGCACCTGGTGCCGGAGCTGGGCAGCCTGCAGGTGCTGCTGGTGTTCTGCATGATCTCCGCCTACGAGCTGGGCCCCGGACCCATCTCCTGGTTCATCGGCGCCGAGCTGTTCGACCAGCCGGCCAGACCCATCGCCATGGCCTTCACAAGCATGCTCAACTGGGGGGGGAAGTTTATCCTGGCGCTGCTCTTCCCTCCATTACTGGTGGGTTTACTGTCTGCCTGCTGCTGTGTGAGCCAGTTCATCTCAGACACATTAAATACAGGCTGTAAATCTGTTCACTCTGGTTTAAGCAACATGTACTGTAACAGACATTCATCTGAAACGTTAAATGTATAAATCTGTTGCTAAATCCTTTAACGTCAGGTTGAAATAATAGTAATTAAATGAATAGTTAGCCTGGGAAGCATCGGAACCTTACAGCGCTGCAGAGATGGAAGCGTAGCGCGGTTTAAGCGTGCCGTGCCAAACCCGGCCCGTTTTTTGTTGCGTTTCCACTCGGCGTAGTTCCGGCTAACGGGTACTTTTTCACAGTTTTTCTGGCTCTCCAAAATCCAGGTTCTTTCCGGGCCAACAACCGGGCTGAGTATGCTAAACTAGTGAGAGAATCGCTGGCAACTACAACAAGATGAACATATTTTTACCGTGATTTAATTGTAATACACGTTTCATAATGATGCCGAAGTAACAACATACTGATACCGGTTAGTAACAACCATGAATTAATGCTTTGACAAGTCTGCAGACAGACGGCAGGCGAAAAACCTTTTAAAATATGTGTTTTCTTTATATGCTCCGACCGTCCACACTCACAACAACGGCCTATACAGACATAAATAAACCAGCGACTGTATTCTCCATGACACAGGCAGTCTGTGGTTTGTACTTGTTTCACTTTTGTCTAGTTTCTGAACAGATATGAGGAGCTGTGAGCTGAGGCTAACAGCTAACGACTGATGTTGGTTTTCTGGCCTACACTGCGTTACTATAGTTACTGCCCCAGTTCCTAAACTGTAATGGAAACGCAGCATAAAGTGAGCCTGGCCTACCAAGGCCTAACTATACCGTACTAAGCCGTGCGAGGCCCTGCAGTGGAAATGCGCCATAAGAGCAACAAACTAAATCAAACATCTTTTTTATTGTTCTACTTTTTACTTATTTCAGTTTATACAAACATTTTCATACTTTTGGCTTCTGTTTTCTCATTTGTTTGCAATATAGCTGTATCTATAGTTTAACCAAAGAAAGAACAAAAAAGAAAATAGAACATAAGAAAAGAAAAGGAAAAAAAAATTAAAAATGTAATTAAAATAATTACAATTTATGAAAAAAATTATCCAAATAATACTTCTTTTTTTTTTAAAGTAAGGGTGTGTTCATCTGCTTTTTTTATGTTCTTGTATCTTTCTTATCTTTTTAAATGATACTGTTCTTTATGTTGCCTTTTCTGGAACAAGGTTTTGACTTTAAGAGACCATAGGTAACTACAGATAAAATACCCTGAATATAATAATGCCCTCGTTTCCCCCTCCCACAGAAAGCGTGTGGGGCGTACGTCTACCTGCTCTTCATGGTCGTGGCTCTGGTGGCCTTCGCCTTCACGTGGGTTCGCCTCCCGGAGACCAAAGGACGGACGTTCGATGATATCGCGGAGGAGTTTAGAGGAGCGGAGGAAATCCCTCTGCACAACAAGGCTGGGTTCAACACGTTCCCCTGACACACTTCTGTCAGCTCGCTGGTCATACTGTTATGAGGGTCAGTTTACCAATGTAGGCTACCATCATTTTATCACCAAATATTAGTGGTACGAGAGCAAAAGTTGTATTTTTGTTGTTAAACTAAGAATAGTTCTAATTCACAATATGCGCTTTCACACCGCAGTACTTTTCCCACAAAGGTTCATCAGAACTTAGTTCATGAGAACTCTTTAGTTCTCATGAACTTCTTCTGCTTTGGGTTTACTGGCAGGCCGCAAACAACTTCATGGCGTTTACTGCCGCCCAAAGTCCCCGGCCGGAAGTCCCCGGAGTTGGGGACTGGCTTCAGTAGAAGCTGCTGGGACTCCCAGCAGCTTCTACTGAAGCCTTCCGAGTAAATCGCCAGAACGCCGACACCTCCTCATCTCCACCGCTCCCATGTTTTCTTTTGTGTTGCCACAAGTTAGTCTCTCTGCCTTTGTGCGCTGGGCTAATGCTAATGCTAATAACGCTAATGCGAGGATAATAAAATGGCGGCTTCACAAAACTTTTGGGGAGTTTTACGGGGCGTGGTTTGCAATCCGCCCAGCAAATATCAGAAGGAACCTTTTTCTCCCACGAAAGTACCTGCTCTCTAGCAGGGGGTAAAAAGGTTCTCATTAACACATTTTAGTTCCAAATTTTTTTGGTGTGGTGTGAACGCAACATTTCGGAACTATATCGGAACTAAAGTGGGAAAAGTACTGCGGTATGAAAGCGCCTTATGTCCTAGTTACTCGAGATAATCCTCACATCTCACTACAAATTCCGAAGGCAAAAAATGTACGGGAGTTATCGTAATTGAGAACAATATCACATCTGGAAAGACATCCTTAAAAATCAAGTGCACCAAAAACCAAATTGCAATCAATAATTTGGGCGAACTGAACCTTTAACCTTTCTTATCTCAGGAGTGTTGAAGAAGCTGCCGTGGTCTCAGTTGTTTGTTCATCGATAAATATGGTTCTTATTATAAGAATTTAAAGTGTGTCTGAATGATATTTCTAATGTATGTTTTGAGGCATTTTGTAAACAATGTATTGTTATTTTATAAAAATGGAGAGGCAGACAAGATGAGAGTTACGTAGCGTGAAGAAAACCTACGAAAGACAATGATCAACTGGAGGTTTATTTTGTAGCTGAACTATTACGACGTTCATGAAAAACTCACGTTGTTAGTTCATGTCAGCACTGAAAAGCTGATTTGAAGAAGGTTCCAGAAATGTTACTCTGTGTGTTCATTACTTGATGTTGTTTGTGTAAATAAACATAATGTAATATCATGTGAGCTCTTCAGTGATGTTCATTAACTGAATTATCTTAAAGTGGAGGAAGGTTTCGACATGGACTGTGGTTACACTTTTTTATAATTGTCAATGATTTGTTTGGAATTGCTCTATTGGTGATTTATCAGACTATCAAATTAAAAACTATAAAAGCCAAAGGTGCACGGGTCTTCAATTTCAGAAATGGACTCCTGCTGAGCATGTATAGATTGCTGGGACTACAATATGCGTAAGGATACATGTACCTTTTTAAGGTGCATTGAAAACTACTAGTGATTCAGCATGGGATGTAAATATAATGGGTTTCTTTTACAAAAAGGTTGATGTATCTTTGCTAACAATAAGTTGGATTCATGCTACTGTGATGTCTATAATTACATTTAGATTTTTGAAAAAAGGGAAAAAAAGATTGAAATATTGTTAAACAATAATGAACAGAGCACTTTTAAAGACCCCCACCATAGTGTAGTTAATAATGACTGAATGACACAGCAGCAGTGCCCGCATCGAACATTCTTTCCTTGAATGTTAAGTTGCCAGCAGCCTCCTAGTTCATTATTGGTCTGTGAAATCTCACATATCTCTGGACTGTGTACACATGTACGACGTGAAAACTAACCCTGGCTGTGAGAATAAATATTTCATCCAACACGATGACCTCCAGGAAGCTCAAGAGGAAGAGGAGCCAAAGAGATCAGGGGCCTCATGTATAACGCCGTGCGCAGGATTCACGTGGGAAGGTTGCTTAGTAGTAGAAATCCAAAAAATAGGTACATACATTTCCCGACATTTTCCGATTCACCAAACATTGCGTACCGGCGAGGAAAGTGCGTACGGCACTTCCTACGCCGGTTACCCTTTATAAATCACAATCGACTCGAAATGCGGTGCAGCTTTTGCGGGCTTCACGTAACGCCCATATTTGCCTATAAATAGTCAAAGAAACGCCCATTCATTCATTAATTCTGACTGACTTTATGAAGAAGAGCAGGAAATGACGACAGAACAGCTAAAAACAGACATCTCACACCGTGTCAGATTCTGGTTATTTTGGGGAGGTGGAGATAAATCATATTGTTTGATGCAGTTTGAACCAGAGCAGCAGCATGGAGGTCGGATCGTCACCAAAATAAATAAATAAGTGGTCCGAAAAAGTCTAATGACAAAATAAATACCCATAGCCTTCCTCAGGCAGTGTGTTTGTACCGGGGACAGGAGACCCCCCCTTGATGAGAAACTAAGAAATGATCGGGGAATCCCCCCGGAGTGGAGTCATGACGACTGGATCTGAATTAGGCTATGTGTTTGTATTTGGTAGTTTGTATATATCCATAATCCACCAGTTAAAGGAAATACAGCTAATGTGTTGTGTTATATTCGCTGTACAATTTACCACACATGGTGTTCTTAGTTTCCATACCTCCTGTGTTTTACGAGCAACTTATCAAGTCTTGGCAAACGGCATAAAACATGATTAAACATGATAGAATATAAAACCATGCTCGTATACAACCTATAGAAATGCAAAACGGCGTCAGTTTAGACGTAATTCTGTCCTCCTGCTTACCGCATCATTTATGAGAAAACATTTCATAACATTAACACAACATATTCGAGGTGGTTTTAAATAACATATCCGTATTTATTTATTTCTCCAAGTTTTGTTTTTGTGTGCACCGAGGAGTCTCAAACAGGCGTTTGTTAAATCATTTTAAGATTGGCTTTAATCAATTTGTGAAAATGAATTCTTCATATATGATGAATGAGAGGTAACATTTTATTTATGGTATTATTTCCACACATTTCTCTCCATTCTTCCTTCTGCCAACGGTGTCGCAGTTTCTCGTCTCTCCCGTGTTTGTGCTTAGTGCGTACGCATGGGTTAGAGTTTGCGTGGAGGACCGCACGTTTTCCCGTCAAGTTAGTATTTTATCAATCGTAAACATTGCGTAGAAACTGGCGTAAGCCATTTTTTGAGCGTATATCTACGGTGGCCGGCAGGTGCAAACGCGGAACAACGGCCCAAAACGCATACATAAGCAGGAAACAGCTGCAAATAATGAAATGAAAAACAAACAAACCCTGAAAACAAATACAACAGAAAAACGCTGCATTTACAGAAATGTTGCAAACTAAATACAACACACAAACCCCGAAAACAAACGCAACAAAAAAACGCTGCAAATACCAAAATGATATGCAAAGTCCAAAGCACGTACAAATCCCAAAACACATACAAAAAAAACATTCCGGAAGTGCTCCAGGCCTCTAGGGGGCGCGCTACGTGGAACGAACAAGAGTGATGGAAATCGAGAGGAAAGAAAGTTCATTTAAGTGGAGAAAGATATAAGAAGGTAAGTTTTGTTTTAATACATAGAGCGTCATATTTATATAGCTAGCGTTAGCGTGCCTAACTACTACACCAGCTGAGGAGAGCTTCACGTGAAGAGAAGATAAAGTGAGGGAAGAACATTTTTTAAAAAGAGATGACAAATCAAGTGCAGGCAAATAACACGGGCCATAGTGAGTACCGCGGAAAAAGGACATTTGAATTCTTAGCAGTTTGTTTATATGTATATATTTGTGTATAGATGTTGCAACTATACAGAGCTTTAGCAATTACCTGTAACTATGGTCATGCTAATAAAGCTATTGAATTGAGAGAGATGTGACAACATGTGAAGAGGGACAAAGTAATGACAGGAGAGTAGTGTGCATTAGACATCCTCAAGAACAAATATAGAGACATTCAAGGAGAGAGAGAACACAGATTCAACGGTAAACATGATGTATCTTTCTATTTATTTAGCTAACCACTATTTAGACTGTGTTTTTGATTAACTTGATTAAATGGATTTACTACATCAATGTATGTCTTTTCAGGCCGCCATGTTTTGTCCTTTCTGTGGCCAGCATCTGGGGACAGTTCAAGTGTTCTGTGGCTCCTGTGGCAAACATGTACAGTTTTTGGCAGAAGTTGAACACAACAGTAAGTTCACTTTTTTTATTGTATCTGTTTCAAATGCAAGAAATAAGGATTCAACACACTACTCTGTTTAGAATACGAATTGGCAGATGCATACACTAGTTATCAGCATGAAGGACACATTTTTTCATTGTCTGTTTATGTGAAATATGTAGAAGCCATCATTAAATTGTAGACCAATGCATGATTAAATACACAAAACAGCTTATATTATACATTCATAATTGTGTATTAGTTCTATCTTTATAGAGAACATTATATATTTAGAATCAGATTTTGAGACAGTGAGCGGCTGGGAAAGTCACACCGCCATGGGGCACAAACAGTTGCTGACGTGATGTTTTCTTCATTCTCAGGCATTCCATAAGGAGGGTCAGGAACTCACGCTTGGGACCACCATTGTCCCCTCCATCCTCAGTGTGTCCCTCATCATCAGTGAACTTAACTGACATCTCATGAGAGGGATCGAATGAGGCACCTTTGAAGCCGCGGATTGCTCCATCGCACACACTGGCTCTATTAATATTGAACCTGCTGCAAGATGTATTTGTTATTTTTGCAGAGAGTTCTGCAACAATGTGTGCCGCAGTCAGGTATTCTGTGCTGGGAAAGACAAAGTGATGTATTGTAATATTAAATGATGAAGCTAGTAATAAGATTTACAGAATAGAATAGAAAAATTAAGTGGTAATAGTAACAATTTATACCTTTGCTCCATTGTGTCTTCTGGCTCAGACTGGCTATCAATAATGATAAGTGCATACACAGTTGTGTAGTTGCTGCAGTGAGAAGACAGTTGAATAATTACTTTCAAATACCTAATATATGCATGACAGTCATATTTACAAAAGGATGTCGATCCTCTTCCTGTTTTTTCAATACATTGGGTTCTAAACTGACAACAGCACTTTTGTCATACTCCTGCACAATCCTTGTAAACATTTGAAATGGATGCAACAAAAAATATCTGATCTTTGAAAAATATTTGTGGGTGTTTTTTGTATCGTCTTCACTAAGATGTCAGATGTTGTGGGTGTCATTTGGAAATGTATAAAAGTATAATTGTTCTGCTTCCTGGCAATGTTACCCACTGTGATTGGAGGCTATACAAACAAACAAATGTAAAATAAAGATACACAGCAAACAACTGTGTCACGATGCAACTGTCAACCTCGTTTACCTATAGAAGTGGTTCTGACCCGGGGCAGACTGGACCTCTTCCTGGAATGGGGTTGGTGCTCCATCCTATTTTTACCCAGGAAATAAGTGCACACAAAGGTATTTATTGATTTCATGTTCACAAATTCAAACCTACATGGTATAATTACATTTGTAATTAGTCTTACCCAATCAGACGCTGGTTGTGGGTGCCTGAGAGGTCTGATAAAGGTTAACAACAAATATATTCAAACTACTGTACTGTTAAAACATTCTGCTTCTTGTGGCACAAAATAATATGTTGACAATGTTTTATTTTACCCTGCAAACTGTTGTCCATTCGTGGAGTGCTCACTTTTGGAACATTTGGAATGTCCCACACCTGCATACAACACACAAATGACTGACTGAAATAAAAATAAATTCACTTTAATTAAGAATAAATGCCACGATAAATCCAAACTGACCAAGGTACATTATATTGTTGACCGTCCTTTAACTCTCACATTAGGATTTACATTGAAGCACAATAAACCAACTCCTCTCTGCACCTATAATATATCTATATGATGTCAAGAGTTACATTTAGGTGCACAGACAGTGCTGTCTCTTGACTTGCAAGCTCTTTCACCAAACAAGCTAACGCTAGCTGGGTAAATATGACGCTCTTTGTATCAAAACAAAACTTACCTTTTTATATATCGTCTTTTTCCACTTCGATCAACTTCGTTTCCTCCGGCTTCAAATTGCAGCACTCTTGTTCGTTCCCTCTATGTCTGGTCAGACATCAATCTGTTCCACGTAGCGCGCCCCCTAGAGGCCTGGAGCACTTCCGGAATGTTTTTTTTTGGTATGTGTTTTGGGATTTGTATGTGCTTTGGACTTTGCATGTCGTTTTGGTATTTGCAGCGTTTTTTTGTTGCGTTTGCTTTCGGGGTTTGTGTGTTGTATTTAGTTTGCATCATTTCTGTAAATGCAGCGTTTTTTTGGTTGTATTTGTTTTCAGGATTTGTTTGTTTTTCATTTCAGGATTTGCAGCTGTTTCCTGCTAATGTATTTGTTTTTGGCCGTTGTTCCGCGTTTGCACCTGCCGGCCACCGTATATATCCCTTTATAAATGAGGCCCCAGGGGAGATCTGTTTCAAAACAGCAGCAGAGGGGGAGGGGGGGGGGGGGATTCAATGTATTTATATTGACACGTTAATGACTGTGATCCAATAACTCATTATGGTCTAAATGTGTTTGTTTTTCTTCCGTCCATTGACTGTTGTTTTCATTTGTAAATTGACAGCGACAAAGAAAACCAGACTTGGTTCTCTGCAAAAGTATGAAAACAGTGCCCCCTAGTGTGGGAGAGGCTATGCATCTATCAAACTACAGCGCTGTGAGTTTTTTGGGGGTCATTTGGTGTCTTCTTGCTGGCAGTACTAATAAATGTACAGAAACATTTAGTTTAAAATAGAAACATTTTCACCTACTGTTTCATCGAGCACAGTCTAATAATAAAAACAATGTGGATCAACTTTGTTTACTTTATTGTAATCTGTAAATACTGCTTCATGTTTATAAAAAAAAACTGGACTGCAGCTTTTACCTTTTTTGCATTGGCAACACGTTTGTCATATAAATAGTTATTTGGAGAATTTTAAACACAACAACCTTCTTTATTTTTTCTTCATAAGGATATTCTTATCTGTACATGCAGTACCCTTCTTTACCTTTTATCAAGGTAACTACATGTAACTGGTTGTCTCAATAACATGGGAAAAACAGAAGAATATTTAAATCTACAAAACGTACTTAAAAAAGGTACCTTAGCATTTAGTAAACCGAAAATTAATATATTTGTGTGGGGATTTGTTTCATGACATTGTGGATTTGTATTACCAAACTGGTATTTCCATGGTTACAACTCTAAATATGAATACATATGGAGCCTGTGACCTAAGATTTTCATCGTCATAACTACAGCTATACGCATGACCAATAAAAGCCTTGAAACCTTGAACCCTGATATTTAAGAGTTTGGAGTTTTTTACACTATTTGCCTCCAAGGGTATGAACTTTTTGGTGAGGCTCAAGGGCTTTCTGATCAATGAAGGGTTACAAACTTGAAAAATAAAATGTGGAACAAGATTATGGTGATAAAGCTCAGAATCCTCAAAAGCATCTTCTATTACTGGACGTTCAAAGATCATTCATGTTTTGAACGTCGCTCACAAACAGCCTGTCTGAAACACGATGAATGCAGTGGATCCTGATCGACTGTAGAGGGACACCCAGCTCTGCTTTTAGGAGACGTGCACACAGAAGCTCAAACACCACATCACACAACGAGGAGACCCTCCCCTTGCAGCTGCATATCTCTGTGCTACGAGACTGACCGTTAGTGTGCAACTAAACATGGGTAGTGGTACAAACATGGTACAGCTCCTCAGACTATTAGTTGTTCTGCTGTGGACTACAAGTAAGTTACAATTACAAAGAAATACATCTAAATATACTGGTAGACCAAGCCTAGTTCAATAATGTAAACATGTACTTGATCAAATGTCTGTTAAAGGGTCTTTACCGTGTTGTCCTCAGTGATTGTGATGCTATGTTTAAAGTATTTGCTGATGTTGTAAATGGAGACGCATCATCATATCTTATGGTATCTCTAAACATTGCTTTATGTTAAATATGACACTGAACTTCAACTTTCAAGTGCTTGGCGCTGGAAACAAGTTAACCACTGTACATTGAAGTTATGTTAATGTATGTATATCTGATTTAACACACACAGGTCTAACTGATGGCAGCAATGTCAACCAGACTGACACCCTTTGGGAAACACAGGGAGACAATGCAACCATGAGCTGCACACACACAAAGGGTGTTGACTACTACCAGATGTACTGGTACAGACAGCTGCCAGGAGCAACTATGGAGCTAATCGTGTTCACAAGATCTGGGATCAAGGATCATGATTTTGGAGGATTCAGAAAAGACAAGTTCTCAGCCACAAAGCCTGACGCTGAGAGCGGGACGTTCACAGTGAAGGGTCTGCAGCCAGGAGACAAAGGCTTGTACTTCTGTGCTGTGAGTCAACACAGTGACACACACACAGGAGGAGGCTGAACAAAAACCCTCACTGATGCTACACCTCTCCATCCTGCAGCTCAGACTGTAGGGGGGGCTGGAGGACAGCAAACGCTCCGATTACCCCCCACATCTTTTATGTCGCCTGTAACTCTCTCTGTTTTTACACTATCAGTTGTGTCTTCTGACTTTCTGAACAAGGTACTAAAGTACTAAACTCATTTGAACACAGCGTCACGGCTTCCTTCCTCTATAGGCCACTTTAGACGCCTTTTAAAAACAGACATTTGATGTTATACGGCTCGTGTGGTGAATATAAAATAATAAAAACTGTATCTACAAGAATTCAACAAAGAAAATAGCTCTACAAGATTAAAAACAAAAGAGGAAAAAGTCAAAGAAAGTGAAAAGCAAGTTTTAAATGGTCCTTGTTCCTTCACAGTTTGCCCATATCTGCATCTCTTAATATGCTATATGAATATGAATTGTCGTCTTTTATCTTAAAGACTATAATTCACCACTAGATGGCAATACTATGATATACAACTAAAACAGTCTCTAACACACTACATGTAGATGAACACTTTCCAATTAAAATATCTTTGAAAAGGAAGCTAGATTTGGAATTTTTCCGTACAACATGTAGTTCCAAGAAGGCCAAAACAAATAGATATTAATATTTCAAAATGAAAGATGCTTCTTTGGGGTAATAAACTGTATTGATGCATTCTGTACATGTTGCAAAAAATAGGTTTTCTTTTATGTTCAGTACAAAACTCAACTGAATGCAATAAAAATGTGGTTTTGGTGGGGCTTAGAATAAACGCATTCGGGTTAGAGCTAAAGGATTTGGCAAGTTCTGAGATGACTTTTTTAAGACCCCTCCCTGTTGACGACGTAGACTCTTCTGTGCACCCCCCCTCCCCCCCCCCCCCCCCCCTCTTTATTAGACTCTAAGAGTCACAGCTCTCGTCCACAGGAGCCGAGCTGACAAAGTACTATGGTGTCCAATACAAACCAACTTATCATGATATTTATCGTTTGTATATTCCTTCAACTGCAGGGAAGTAACGGTGAGAAACACAAGAACATAAAAAAGAAACAACGAAGCTGAACGGCTCATCATTTAAAATGTTCCCTGCTTGTTCCACAGGTGCCTCAAACAGCGACAGCGTCTTCCAAACGCCTCCGTTCATCATGAAGAGAAGTGGAGAGTCTGTGGACCGGGAGATCAACTGTTCGCACAGCATACCAAGCCATGATTGCATTCTCTGGTACAAACAAGACCAACATCAAAATATGAAGTTTCTGGGATATCTGAATGTGAAGTACCCGTATCCAGAGGACGACGTGAAAGGAAAAGTCAGCTTTGACGGAGATGCCAGTATACACTCTCAGTCTCGCCTCAGTGTCTCTAATCTGTCATCAGAGGACAGCGGGGTGTATTTCTGTGCAGTCAGTCAGCACAGTGCTGCAGATTCCCCTCAGCTCAATACAAGAACTCTCCTCCGTCTGTCAGAGACAACAAGCTGAGGCTCAGCACCTGCACACCGGCGGCATCAACCCCACTGCCAAAGATCTTATCGCCTGCTTTCACCTCTTTTGTGGTCACGCTGTAATGCCACAGTTTAATCATTCGTCTGGGAATGAAACAACAGGAATTTTAGGGAATGGAACAAATACCCATGATGAAGATGGGGGGAAAAGGGGGGAAGAATAGAGCACAAAACATGTATAATAACCAGGTGGTAAGATGTGACAATCAGTGTACGTATTAATATAGTATCCATTACTGTGAGCTACACCCTAAAGGGTATTATCAATTTGTGTATTTGTTTTCCTCTCTCCTGGTTTGTTATGAAGTTATTTGATGTATAAAAGTGTTGTGAAACAGCATGAAATGTCATGTCACAGTTACCGACATTCACGATAACATCAAGACTATCAAATCATTTTATCTTAATGAAAATATGGTTGTATTTTCACGATGGGTCTTCCTATATACGTTCCTAATATTATGAATATGATATAGTATATAATCGTTACATATGATATGTGTTTGATCATTAAAATGTTGGCTTTTGTATTACTGTTTTCTTATGTACTTTTTCGATGGTAATTATCACAAAAAAGACTTCATAGTTCCGCTTAAACATATTGAAATTGCTTTATGTTAATACACAAATATTCTCATTGGATCCCACACAGGTCACATGCCTTTTTTAATCCACAAACATAACATTTAGGCCAGCCGCACAGATACAGTATTCGTGTGAAAATGATAATTCCTGTATTTAAAAAAACATTAAAATCAGGCTCTCCTTTCTACTTCGTTACTCCAAATATTGTGAGTATGACTTATGCATCTTGTTGCAGAACATGTGTGGGTCATAATTATAATAGGACTAGGGATGTCTCGATCACCTTTTTTTGCTCCCGATCCGATTCCGATCATTTGATTTTGACAATCTGCCGATACCGATTTTTCCCGATCCGATCTTTATGCAATGAGAAAAAAAAAAAAACGGATAACGGCTGGTCATCCAACGCGATGAATTCAGCTATCTTGGCTGTTGTTTTTTGGCCTTTTCACTGTTCTGGGGCAGTTTCTCTTTCCTTTTCAAAGTCTCTGAAAGTGTTGGTTGTGTCAGTGCCGTTCCCTCCCTTAGCAAAAAAATCTATAAAATCCTATAGAATCTTGTAGAAATCTATAGAATCTTGTAGAAATCTATAGAACATAGTCGCCATGCTAAAGAAATCTGTAGAAATCTATAGAAATCTATAGATCATTCTGTAGAATACTATACATTTGTACTTTTCTATAAACTTCTATAATTAAAACTATAACAATCTAAAGAATTCTATAGGACAGAACCGACTCATGACATATCTGTAGAAATCTATAGAAATCTATAGCATTCAAAGAAAACATTTTTCTCTCTGGTGCAACCTATACTAAATTCTATAGAATGATATAAAACTCGTCTTTAAATTGGAATAGAGAAAATCATAGTAATCTACATCATTTTGTGGAACTGAGCTGCTTTGCAAAAGCTGTATGGGTAGATCCCTTTGAAATCTTTACAAATGTATACTGGATTATGTGCCCAATTAAATTATGTATATATTGCACATAGTTTGACGGTATTTAACAGCAGCAAGTTACACAATGTTATAATCGGGAGATAAGTTTCCATTCATTTCGGCAAGCCTGGGCAACAACGATTAAAATATTTCTTGCTCCCAAACCAATTGTATATTTCATTACAAAAAGCAGTTATACCATACTATGTTTAGGTACTAATGAATTATATCCTCAAAACAAACGCACACATAAATAACAAAGGAAAATACATAATTTAATAAATCCACAATATGATAACATTTTACAGATTAATTTAATAAACTTTTACAAAACATAGGTTGATGTTATATCGGGGGGAAAAATACATATTTAAACATTTCAATTATTCTCTGCATATTTAAGTAATGCTAGTTTATATAACAGATGAACAGATGTACAATATCCAGAAAGTAAGTGCAAAAAATATATATGATGTGTGCATTTCCAACATATCCTCTGAAAGAGTGTTAGTCGTTGAGTAGTGAGCCATTCGTTTTTTTTTCGTGGTGCGATGTCTGCTGAGAAGTCCTTGTATGCGTCTCCCGCTCTAACGTAGACTGGAAGTTTACAAGCACACACTCAATGAACCGGAAATGGAATTACGTCATCCCGTGGATCATCCAATGAGCGCGTAGCTCTTATCCGGCAGAAGTGGATCGGGACTTACCCTAAATGTGATTGGACAATTCGAAACCTCGTACCCAGAGTTCAATGCAGTATATTAGCGGGATTTTTGATCGCTGGAGAGTGGAGATATATTTATTTTGAAGTTGAACGCATTATCACTGATTTTTCTATTTGTATGTTGTATCAGCTTTACCAAGATTCAAGAACTAGTTGTGGAATAGATATAGATGGCAAACAAAATGGGTTTCGCTCTCTTTGACTTTTTTAATGAGAATGCGGTTGACATCGGCAAGGTTTCGTGGATCCAAGAGCCTTCGTCTTTGACAATGGAATCCGTGTCGGAGAATGAAACTGTTGTTAAAGTGGCGTGGCCCAAAGGCGGAGTGGAGGGGAGCGATATCCAATTGTCGCTGGCTAAGGTGGTCAAGTTTGCAGGTAAGCAGAATCCACACAATAAATATATATCTATCTATAGATGTTTTAATAGAGCTATGTCTAAATAATGTATCCTCACTCATAGCTTCGTTTTTATGAAATAATATTGGAAATAGTATATGAGCTTTATAATATCGGAAATTACTCACACTTTTGAGATCAATCTGAATCTGCTCTGAATCTTTTGAGATCAATCTCTGCTCTGAATCATGGAACCAAAAGTCCCACATATCTTGCGTGTCTGGAAAAAGTTATTTGGCATTTTTAGGGGGGGCACTTGTTTTGCCAAATAACTTTAGCTAATTCCAAAAAATCTAATTAGTGTGTGGTCCGACTGCTGCATTACACAAATAAGCAGTCAACAAGTAATATTGAAGTATTGTGCAAGAATTTACCTACATGTAACTGTCTTAATTGACTTAAGACTAAATAAACGAGGCGCCACAATAGAATGGAATGGACTAGATCTATAATCATTAGGGGTGTAACGGTTCACAAACATTTCGGTTCGGTACGTACCTCGGTTTTTTGGTCACGGTTCGGTTTGGTACGTTTTCGGTACAGCAGCATTTTTTTTCACAAAACAAAACATATATATATATTTTTTTATTATTATTATTAAACTGTGAATAATGTATTCACTCAAATAAATACAAAATATAATAAAATAAACATTAAGGTGCAGCATTTCGATGAACTGAAATAATCTGTATTTGAACTTTACTGTACTAGTAATCACAAAACATAAACTATTAGTTTTGGGTTTTTAATTATTATTAAACTGTGAATATTCACTCAAATAAATACAAAATATAATAAAATGAACATTAAGGTGCAGCATGTCGATGAACTGAAATAATCTGTATTTGAACTGAACTGTACTAGCACCTAAGCAGCCAGTTTGACATTAGGACTTGCTTGTCATTGTATTTTCATGTTGTTTAAAGAAAGATGAACTTGTCCACATTGCTTGCCGAAAGGGCAGATCTGCTGGCACTAACAATGTCTCCTGCTGTGGAGAACACCCTCTCTAGGGACAGAGGTAGCACAGCCAGGTAGCGCTTTGCTAACATGGCAACATAAGGATATGTGGCGTTTGTAATAGCTTTGGCACGGTCTGAACTCTCTGCGAGTGGTGGAGGCTTAAATGCTAGTGGGAGTTGGGTTTGCACTTCAGTCATTTTTTCTTTTGGTACCGGTGATATTCACGTTCGGGTGATGCCTTTTCAAGAGTGTGCAAGTTTGATGTATTGCCAGCCGCGTAACCAATTTTAGTTGAACAATGCCGACAAACAGCTTTGGTTCAGTCCACCTGTCTTTGTCCGTCATCCTTGTTCGTAACTGCAAAACCAAAATGTTCCCAAACCGGAGACTTCAATGATGCTGGAGGATTTTCGAGCTCAACTTCAGCTCAGTTCCTCAAATTACTGACTACATTTGAACGCATCCCTCTGACCAGCTCTCATAGTATGCCTCTCATCCAATGAAATGACTTGCTCGCTCTATGACGCGTTGAACCCAATGTGAGCAAATTACTCTGAATGCTGCGACGCAGCACCTGAGATTACTTCCAAAAAGTTATTCACGTTCTCAATTTTTTACGTTTAACGTTATATTCGTTCGGTACACTTCGGTACACACCTGTACCGAACCGAAGGGCCCGTACCGAATAATTTCGGTACGGGTATGTGTACCGTTACACCCCTAATAATCATATAAAGCTTGCTATAGATGAGGCTGCGTGTATAGTATACGGGGAATGGAGTAAATTGTCCAGTACATTTTGTGGTAATTAATAATTAGAAGAAACAAATGTTGGACAAAAAGTGTGTGTGCTAGCCGGTGAGAAACATTGATATTTGTAAGCACCCTGAGGGTCCCAGTTAGACTGCAATGTCTATATTCTCAGACTACCGGGATCGATGTATGTACATATATAGGCACTCCTGTATATATTATATTATTATTGTTCTTTTCAGCTCAAGGTAAGCAGCTTCTGCGGCACAGGGACGAGTTTGTGCGGTTAGGCAGTGCAGAGCTGCAGTCACCGGAACTGGGCCGAGGGAAGAGAGAACCGAAGAGGAAGCTCTCGGACATCGAAGACCATGATGTAATTTAATTTGTTTACATTTCTCCATTTTAGATTTGGTGGTTTGTGTTTGTCTGCATCATACTGTCAGTCATATGCAGTATATGGCAGTTTAATAAACGTGTTTATATATAATTTATAATTGCATCCTAGTTTTAGGAGTGATGTTTACTGCCATGGTGGCTGGGTTTCATCTAACGTACCATGCATATATGCTGGCCTGTTTAATTAAATTGTGGAAGTGAGATACAGTTAATATAGTGTCTAGCTTTTGAGGAAATAAGTTAATCCATAGCAACATTTCACCATATTACATTATATTCACTATTTATAACTTATATTCATCAGCCATGACAAGTTGCATATATATAAGGCAATACATTTATTTCTATGTTATAGGAAGAACCATCCCTTCCCAAACCACCTTCAAACGCTGCCAAGAAGAAGAAGACAATGAGCAGCATGACATCATCGGTATTGGAACAGCTGAAGGTAAATATATATATATATATATATAAGCTCAACTAAGTGGAGTGTACTCTCAATACAATAGTAAGCATGCAACTCACTATTGTTTATGTTATGTACTATGTATTATAATTGTATGTCCGCGGTCCAATAAATAAAAAAACATATATACAATATCTATTTACAAGGGTAGAACTTCAAGATAATTTACAACTCGCCAGCAGGACTAGTGGTTTTTGAAATTCTGATACTCGTGCATATGGCTAAATTGTTGTCAGCGTAGTGGTATTGCAGGGTGTAATGGTAACACATATAGAAGAAGTATAACTTTTGTGCCGTTTGACACCATTATATTTGGTTATATACACCATTAAACACCAACATTTCTGGTACCTTTATTTGTACTTTGCTTATGTATGTAGGTGTGTATGTATTTATGTAAGTATGTCTACCCAAAATTGTGTCATGCCATGGGCAAAAAGAAACATCACCTAGTTTTAAATAATTAATAAATATTTATTTGCAGGAAAAGTATTCACACAGCCACGACAACAGTGGACCGCCCGAAGCCGCATGTTCGCATCCCGACCAGGAATGCCGCAAATGCAAACTACTTCAACAACAAATAGACATCCTTGAGGAGGAGAAAGCTACATTGCTGGCGTCATTGAGAATGAACAAAAGTAAGTGTTCAATTTCACTTATTCAGCATTACAGATAATTGTTTTATTACATTGGGGGGAAGACAGTCTGGCGGGTCTGATCGCAGTAGCAGTCCAAAACATGGAGGATGGGTGATTTGCATTATTTCTGCTAATGCATGAAAACTGAATGCTGTTGTGTTCCAAAACCTTTATATATAAAATGTTTATGAATATGTTTTAAGTTTACATTAGAAAAAATATGTACTTCGAACCCATGTCTGAAATGTGCCAATGAATATTTCCAGTCGCTGGAGATGTTGTTGCCAAATTGGAGCTGCTATGTCACACGCCAGCTCCAAAGCTGCCAGATATGACAATGCCCATGAGGACACCTCCAAGTCCCTTCAATCGAGAGTCAAGTACACTGAGGTAAATTAATGAGTTTTACATTTTTTATGAATAATTATTACTGTCTTTTGGGCTTCTGTTATAATTGTAACGATTCTAGTACACACTGGATTTTGGTTGTACATGTCTCTGGGCCATGCAGTGTTTAATTATTTACAACAAACCAGCTTTTTCTGTTTAACTCTTTCGGCGCGGCAGGTGACTAGTCGACGTTTGACCTTAATGCACTCGTGGCCTACATATATGAATGGAATATATATATATATCAAATATATATATATATATATATATGAACTAAATATATACATATATGAAATACATATTATTTGAAATACATATATGAAATATCCAGCGCTGAGCAATGCACAAAAAATATAAAATTAGCGCCAAAAGGGTTGAGCACATTTTTCTAACAAACACTGCATACTATTGGGATGTGAAGTTAATTAGTTATTACCTTGCGTGCCTTACAGAGATGGAGATGATGGAGATGCATCGGTTGCTGGTTCCCCATCAGCAAAAAAGGTAAGGAATTATCTTTTCAATTTGATGTTTCCGCTAAGTAGGAAGAGAATTCCAGATGTATTACTTCCAAACCCATCAGCTGGACTAGTGTCATGGTGCAGTGCCTGTGTCAATTTGTATATTCAATTTTAATTATATCAAAATTGAGCCTCCGTGGCGAAGTGGTTGGTACCGTCAGCAGCAAATCAATTCAAAAGAGTAGAGAATTGTTTAATCATTCATTTCATTATTCCAGATCTCTTAATTGGCCTGGAGATTGTGCAAAATGGTGGCCTAAAGATCCATTTCGCCATCACCATTATAATATACGTTGAAATTCCAATATCATCCACCTACTGTAACCTATAGCAGCATAAATTCCGATTGCAAACTCCAATATCATCAATTGTAATACCGGCTTCAGTCTGTGTGGATATTAGATGGTACATTATTATTAGGGGTGCACCGAATGGGAAATTCTTGGCCGAAACCGATACCGAAAATAGGAAACAGTTGGCCGAAAACCGAATGCCGAAAGGCCGAAAATGATTAATAGAAATATATATATATAATGTATACATTTTTTACCAATGTTGTTCAGCTACCTGATTATGGAAATAGACATGATTATGGCAAAACTTAAATAATAATCACTATTATGGGTCCATAAAACATTTATTCAGCACTTTTGAATGCATACAGTACATTTATATATGTCATGTATTATTGCTAAAAAACATTATATCGCATTCTTAGTGTCGCCAACTCGTTTCTAATATGCAAAGACAACAAATGCGTCTATGATGTATTTTCGATCAGACGAGATCTCTCTCCCCCGTCTGTGTGCGAGGGGGCGGGGCAGTTTACACACACGCAGCTGCTACATGCGGCGGAGCACACTGCGGAGATGGCGGAGAGAACGCGCTCCGAGGTGTGGTTAAACTTTACCCGTCTCGATGGGGAGAATACTTGTTACCATAAGTGCAATAAGAGTTTAGCATGTAAGCACGAGCAATTTGTCTAAACATTTAGCAAAAGTGCACCGCATGCAGACGGAGGAATGTACCGAGTCTTTCTAGCAGCTCTGTAGCCCCATCCACGAGTAACGTTTCCACGTCAGGTGTTATGTATGCTAGCAGCAACACACGGAGTTAACTACATTATACAAACATGGGTTAATGATTAGAGGAAACTGAGTTATTTAGTTTGTTAAAATTTCAGCTATTCTGTTTACAGTCTGTCATCAGATTATTTAATACGATTTGTTAAAGGCTCAGGGCAATCTCGATGACAAAGGTCAATGTCCCCCCCCCCCCCCCCCCCCCTGTGAGCCAGCCGCGAGCATGGTCGCCGCGTCTTTATTACGTCATCACAACAACAAAGCCGAAAGAGCCTTTTTAACCATTTTCGGCCGATAATTTTCGGTGGCCGAATATTCGGTGCATCCCTAATTATTATTATTATTTTTTTTTTTATTATTATTATTATTTGTTACTTGTCACAGTCAATTAATAAAATACAATATTATGCTGTTGGATTTCATTGCAGTTCCCAATAGCAAAGTGGCAGATTAGGCGATGTTCGACCACCTCGCTGCAGAAATTCATCAATGACCTCCTCCATGGCCTGTATTGCACAGAGTACATGGCCAAGCACTCACTTACTGGCTACAAGGCCAGTAAGGAGTCTGATGCTGGCAAGAGGAAGGACAGCATTCCACAAGAAGAGGTTGCTGAAATAATTGGTAAGATTTGTTGATATGTAGCAATAGTCCCAGCTAACAAATTTACGTATTAACTACGTAGTTACAACGTAGTGGTTTAGTAGAATTTCTGGACTGCCAGATACGTTTTTTTACTACGTAGTGAAATTACCAAATGGGCACTTTCTCATGACCTTTCGGCTTCCCCTGCAAATGTTTGTTTCTACTTTGTGCTAAACTTTGCTTCACATATCCTCCATGTTCTATGACTATTAAAGAAACATGTCATATTTTATCAAGACATGTCGTAGTTCCCGCTGTAAAAGCGCAAAATCCAGTGTGAGAAAAAGTTTTTAGAGAGTACTTGTCCATGGACAAGTGAGTTTGGCAATTTACTTGTCCGAATACATTTTTCACTTGTCCAGAATGGACAAAAATTTGGGGCCACTGGAATCTTCTTCTTCGTCATCGTATTTTACATTTTCCCACGGTTTTTACGACACCGCTAACGTAAGTGAGCGGTAAGATTTTACTGCATCACACATAGGGTTGGGTATCATTTGGATTTTAACGATTCCGGTTCTGCTTTTCGATTCCGGTTATTTTCGGTTCTCGATTCCGGTTCTTTGAGAGGGTAAAAATAAGTCCCATGACAAACTGGGAGAAAAATATATTTATGAAAACATTAAGTCAAATCTGTATTCCTATTTACAAATCACTTCATACTGTTGAATTTCTTACGGTTATTGAATACAATTATATAAAAATAATCTCTGCATTGTTTAGTTAGTTCTAAGACCACACGACCACACGAGGACGAAAACGGCTAAACGCATAGGATTAACGCAAACGCAATTGCAAACAAGCTTCCGTCCACACGCAATAGTTATCCGGATAGTGTCTGCTCACACGAGACCGCTCCGTTTAGCTCCAACCGCTGGAGAAGCTGCAGTACATATGCAGGAGCCTGTACGTGGCGCTGTAACTTCCTCCACAAAAGCAGCGAAGAAGCATGGTTGTCATGGTTGCCCTTCTGTTTATTCTCCGCGGTGGGGGCCGAGGGAACCGGGCAGAGTTTTTCGCCAGTCAACGTGTATTAAAGTTTAAACCTTCCGACAAAATTATAAAAGTGCCGGTCAAAGGTCTTCTTTGTTATTTATTGAGCTTTAAAACAAATGAATAACGACTCTATATAATATAATAATAAAAATACACGGAGCCTCTCTTTTTCCACCCTCTCTTTGGACAGCGTCAGTGTCTGTTTCATGCAGCAGCTGATCCAATAATGAGTGACCCGGCCGACAGTAAAAATAAACATATTTATAACTAGGTAGTTTGAGAGGTGTCTCCGTCCTGTCAGATTAGACTTCACTCGCGTTTATGTCCATATCGAGAGAAAGATAAATAATCTGAATTCAGTGTGCAGTTTACTTTGACGCGGGGTGAGCAGCAGAGGTGGGGAGAGGCGGGGCTATTGCGCAATCATTATCAGAAAATGATCGCTGAAGCTGCAGTACATATCCACAAAAGCAGCGAGTAAGATCCCCCCGGATGTGTAAGTCTGCTGTAGATGTTGCACAAAGAACTGTAGCATGGTCAGTAGCGTCCGGAGCACGATAGCAACTCTGCGATCCGCCATTGTTGTTGTTGTTGGTGGCGAAACACATCAGCAATGGCGCGGGGTACGCGGAGGTGAGCAGCAGAGGTGGGGAGAGGCGGGGCTATTGCTATTGCGCAATCACTATCAGAACATGTTCGTATAGGGCGTACACACAGAGCCGTTTGACCCCCCAGAGCGTTGCGTATGCCGTTCTATCCACCTTGGGACCCGTTGTCGTTTCCTCAGTCGTTTAGTGCCGTATGCGGTCGTCCTCGTGTGGCCGAATGGTCTATATGACACTAAACAGTAACGCAAACGGCCGTTTTTCGTCACTCGTGTGGCCGGGGCATAAGTGGTGCAGTTTGAGAATGTACAATTGGCCCAGTCTCCTCTGATGGTTACACTGCAACCTGCCTGTGAGACAGAGTCCAACCACCACATGTCCAACACATAGGCCCTAATAATAATGACACATTAGATGTATAGCCTATAGGCCTAGCGTTTTTCTACAACTCAAAAGACGCTTGCTTACTTCATAAAGGAAATGGTGGTCAATATTAACAACATAGGAGTTAAAACCGCTTAATAACCTTCATTATGTGTTAGAGAGGAAAGAACATAAGAAAGGTTTGATAAGATGAGGCTGTTAAACCGGGCAGCGGATTCCGCTGTATGTAGAGAGAGAGAGAGATGAGGATAGAGAGAGAGAATAGAGAGAGAGAGAATAGAGAGAGAGAGAGAGAGAGAGAGATAGATAGAGAGAAGAGAGAGCTAGAGATTCGATAGATACTCTCTCTCTCTAGCGCTCGCTCTCTCTCTCTCTCTCTCCTCTCCTAGCTCTCTCTTCTCTCTCGCTATCTCTCTTCTCGCTCTCTCTCATTCTCTCTCTCTCTCTCTCTCTCTACGCTCTCTCTCTACTCTCTCTCCACTCTCTCTCTGGGCTGAGCTGCCCTGCTTCCACCATGCAGCGATCAGCTTATACGGAGCATAGAAGAGAGCTGCAGGTCCGCGTGGGCGCGCCTCGCCTCCTGTCCTCACCAACTCTTATTAATCCCTGTACCGGACAAATTGTTATTTTTTTCCTACTCGGAACCGAGTTTTGCTTCCCAACCTTGCCATAGTGCTACACTTCTCACCACGCTCCGCCCCGCCCCCGTCTAACAGTACAGAAAAGCGGCGATATGCATTTCCTTAGGAATCGACAAGCAGAACCGAAACTAACACTTCTAAACGAACAATGGCGGACACGTACAATTTGCGAATGAGTTCTGCCTTTTGTAAACTGAATGTATCAATAATTTGTCAATAAATCAGGCCGAAAAACGTCACTTGTCCGCCGGACAAGTCAATTGAAAGATCTACTTGTCCGATATTGTAAATAGCACGTCCCGGACGGTGGGACGTGTACTTTTTCGCACACTGAAAATCTGAACAAAGATCGTACCAAAGATTCCAACTGCCAAACCGCCATGCAACTGCTCTATACATTGTGTGCAGTGTGCACACTTGTTCAGTTTACTTTAGTAAAATGTATTCTAGTTTTCACACAATTTTCATATACACATACAAAAACTAATAATTTTGTTCTATGGAGAAAATTGCTTCTATGCATTAATTAAATAACGTTAAAATTAACTAATATGTACAAAAACAAATCTCAGATCACCAAATAAACATCTACGTGTCCTTGTTACGTATTCACAACGTAATATAACTACGTAGTTGGCCTAACGTTGCTGAAGTATGTGCATAAACATGTACTATGTAAATACTACGTATTTTCAAGACATTACCTAAACGGTACCTAACCACTACGTCATATATACGTAGTGTGTTAGGTGGGAGTATGATGCAACTTGGCAAATAAAGTAGATTTATATTGAAATCATGTGCAAGTTGAAATCTTCCAAGTACATGGTAGTTATACATATTTTGTAGTGTAGTGGAAAACAATGTTGTGATGCTGGGAATTAAGTGAACTATTTGTAGAGTTTCTGTGTAGTAATATATAGTCATAAATCGACCATCTATTATAATATGAATACATGTAGGCTACTGATTAAATTACTATTTATATTAACCATTGCATTAAAAAAAATTGATTGATTTATTACCTTCATGAATCAATATTCTTTGGTGAATGGCTTTAATGCAAATTTCAATATATTATTCTGTTATAGCGGCAGCAAAACAAATCTTCGCCACCAAGACGGACATGGAGGTACGGCTGGCCATCCGCCAGAAACTGAATGGGGCTGCCAAAGTGGTCTCGGCGAGGAAAGTGGCAACACCTCCAGACGCCAGCCAATAGAGTACAGATTCATCATTCATTTCATTATCCCAGAAGGTCTCTTGGCCCAAATTCGCATAACTTGCGAAAAAGTAGCTTACCGGCATAACAATATTATATTAAACCTTGTATATTAGGATATAATAAATAAATATAAATAATAAATGTATATAGCCCAATGTTCTATTACATTTATGCTCAGTTTGTATGCTCTAATCTTGGTACTTTTAACACACATGCTTATTTAAGGTACTTTATATTTGCTTGGATAGTAACATATTTTACTCACTGCCATGCTTCACAATTTTTATTGTATTCTGATGTAAATGCTCCAGAATTTCTGTGACTGCATCTGTATGTATACGTTGATCACTTTTGTTATGTAACTAATTATCTGTTACAACTGGAGATTAAAGCTAAGTGACATAACAATAGCTATTGTTAGTGTGAGTCTGTTACAAACAACTCATTGGAGTCTGCAGTACTCTACTCTGTTTTTCAGTCTATTATATGGCATGTAACACATAATTACTGTGGGGCATTCTCTAAAACATGTATCAAATATATAGCTGTATGTGACTCAATATCAGGCATTGCTATATAATTCAATATTCTATATAATGTCACAACACATGTGGTGTTAGCTATAGAAGATTCTGTATTGTCCATTCATATTGTAGAGCTTATTCTATAGAGTACAGAGCAGTTATATAGAAAACATCCATGGATTTTCTATAGATTATTTATGGAATCTATAGGAAAATCTATAGGTTAATTCTATAGAATTTCTACACCAATCCTGTACTGTTCTGCAGAACAATTTTATAGAAAACAATAGCAATTTTCTATATGATTCTATAGATTATTTGGTGGAATCTATAGTAGAATCCATAGGTGAATTCTATAGAATATTTGCCACTATCCTGCAGTATATTCTACAGAAATTCTATAGAAACATCAATAGATTGTTCTATAGATTATTTTGCAGAATCTATAGTAAAATCCATAGGTAAATTCTATAGAATATCTGCAAAAATGCTATAGTATTCCTCAAAGAAGTTCTATAGAAATATCCACAGATTCTATAGAATATAGGTCACTAATTCTATAGTTTTCTACAGAATGGTATTCTACAGAACACTTCTATAGAAAGCATCCATGGGTTTTTCTATAGGATTCTATAGATTATTTTCTACAAAAAAACCATCTACACAGTATATATTTTCTATAGTACTATATTCTATAGATTATTTCCCAGAATCTATAGTAACATTTCTATAGTATATCCGCAAAAATCCTGTAGTATTCTACAGAACATTTCTATAGAATTCGTCCATAGATCTTTCTATAGTATTCTATAAATTATTTCCCAGAATCTATAGTTACATTTCTATACTATGTCCGCAAAAATCCTGTAGTATTCTACAGAACATTTCTATAGAATTCGTCCATAGATCTTTCTATAGTATTCTATAGATTTTTTTGCTAAGGGCTGAGTGGCCGCTGTGTACTCATCGTGTTGTTGTTGGTGTTTGTTTCTCAGGCGGCGTGTTAGATTGGTCGTGTTGAATGTAGCTCTGTTCTTTCCACCACGCGGAACCTCCGCCTTGCAAACATTGCATCCGGCTGTTACACTGCCTTCGCTTTCAATTTTATAATACTTCCAAACTCCTGACATTTTCTCTGTCCCAACTCCCGAGTCACCAGCTGAACGTAGCCTCTCGTTAGCGTACTGCTACTATTAGACACTGCGCCCACTATGTTTCCAGATTTGAGAGAAATAAGCAAATGAAAACAAGCCCAAAAGAAGCAACACATACATGATGTTGTGTCATTTTAAACCAAAACTAAGGCCTCAGGATGACTTTAAGACGTGAACATGGTCATTTTAGTTTTGTAACATTATATTAAAAAAAATAAAAAAATAAAATAAAAATCCCGATCCCCGATTTTTTTCTCCCGATTCCGATCTTTTGAAAATCACGTGATCGGCTCCGATCCCCGATCGGATCGGGACATCTCTAAATAGGACTAATGGTGTCTGAAAAGAGTAACAGGCAAAAGGCCGGACACCCAAACCACTCTGTTTCCTACAGTCTAGTTTAGATTTCTAATTGTTGGTAGAAAACGCATAAACCTCTCCATCAAGGATTATATTAACAGATTTGAACTTAAGTTTAATCACACTGCGACGCCATGGTAAAGAACCATCTTCCATATTCCCTTTGAAGATGAACAGCAGGGGGACCTTCACTATCATTTATACTGATCATTTTAAAGCAGAGGCCCTCCCCTGCAGCTCTTCATGTCTCTGTTTCTGCACAGACAGACAGACAGACAGACAGACAGACAGACAGACAGACAGACAGACAGACAGACAGACAGACAGACAGACAGACAGACAGACAGACAGACAGACAGACAGACAGACAGACAGACAGACAGACAGACAGACAGACAGACAGACTGTGGACGACAGGTAAATAACAATAACATCAACTGTTAATATTAAAGAATGTGTACATTACATGATTTCACTATAACAGATTGTTCTATTGGGTATCAGGTAGCAGAGCAATGAGTGAAGGTTTGTTATTATTAAACACACAGGTCTTGTTGATGGGAGTGATGTCTACCAGACTGAGAAACTATGGAGGAACAAAGGTGAAGATGCAACCATGAGCTGCAGACACACAAAGGATGCTAGCTACTACCAGATGTACTGGTACAGACAGCTGCCAGGAGAAACGATGGAACAGATCGTGTACACAAAGATATCACGCAAAGATCATGATTTTGGAGAATTCAGCAGCAAGAAGTTCTCAGCCACCAAGGTTTACTTTGGAAACGGGACGTTCACAGTGAAGGATCTGCAGCCAGGAGACAAAGGCTTGTACTCCTGTGCTGTGGGTGAACACAGTGACACACACACAGGAGGAGGCTGAACAAAAAACCCTCACCGTTTCACTCTCATTGCACGTCATTTACGTCACTGCCACCAGCAACTCTTTATCTGTTTCTATGTTTGACTTTCAATGGCATTACTTTGGATTTTTTTATGTTATGTTCTAGAACTCGTCTTTATGTAGTTTGACTTTGATGGTTTTTATTCTGGTTGATTTGATATGAGAGCATGTGGGCCTAAAGCTGAGGGAGGTTCTTTGTCTGTGAAGGCTGGCGTAATATCGCTGCATTGCTTTAAAAAAAAAAAAAAACCTAAAAAACAATTTGACTGCCTGGTTTCCATGGCGTTATTTTGTTAACATTTTAATAAGTATCGTGCCTTTTATTGAATTTAAGCAATTGTTGGTATATCTTGTGTTTTGTATACACTGTGTATGATTTTTTGATCTGTTATGCTTGTGTATTATTTAATTGTGAAAAACCATTAAAAGCATGTAAATCTAAAAACCTTGATGAAGTCAAGTCAAACCGAAACGAAACACAACTCTGTATAATATTACTGTACGGTAAAACTGAGTTCCAGGGTTCATTTCGGGTCTGTGTTGTCTGGTCTCCTGCCAACAGGGGGCAGTACAGCATCTCTGTGGTGTGCAGTGAGAGTATGACCCCAGGAAGAAAGGTTTCCTGATGGGAGGCTCTTCAGTAGAACAGCACACAGTGATGAACACACAGAGTAACGTGTTCTTAGAGTCAGTCATAAAACACACAAGATGATCCTCCTCTTCTGCACAGCCCTTCATGTCATACTGGTTTCAGGTAATAGAACTAAAGATTTATTATCAATAATCACAGTTTTTGATGTAAAAGCCCATGATAGCATATTGTTTTTCCACAGGTTCCTCTCTGAGTGACCTCGTCTCGCAGACTCCAGCTTATATGTACAAAAACCTCGGAGAAGAAGCCGTCATCAGCTGTTCTCACAGTATTAAAGACTACAACCGGATTCTCTGGTACAAACAAATGAAGGACGGACAACTGCAGTTCCTCGGATACATCTTCGCAACTCAGAAAACCCCAGAGAGTGGCCTGGGGGTGAAGATGGATGGAGATGCAAATATAAATAAGAACTGCACACTGACAGTTGAAGGGCTGAGTGAGAACAGCAGTGCACTTTATTTCTGTGCTGCCAGTCAACACAGTGCTGCAGGTCTCTGCTCCTCCTGTACAAAAACCTCCTCAACACGGTTCATTTACAGCTCTGTGCACCTGGAACATCACTTCCAACCAACGTCTATGTTCCTGCTGATTACCATGAGAGATTATAATAACAGGAGGTCGTCCTTCCTGCAGAGAAATGTAACTTCCTGTTATAACAAGCGGCATTAGAGACTCAGGATTAACAGGTTCACCATCGAGACTAAATATAATTATATTACTTTAGTTGTCCTACATGCAGTTGAGTATAATTGAATATATTTCACAGTTTTAGAGCTGCAACGATTTGTGGTTAATCGATGAGTAGATCGACAGAAAACAAAAGCCGTCTATTTTGATAAGCTATTCAATTCTATCATATTGTGTTTGTGCAAAAATGCCAGGAAATGATCTTTTCAGTCTTGTTCGTATATTTTGGTTTGTTTACAAATAGTTTTTATTCTGTTGCATTTCATATGGGAACATGTGGGCCTAAATCTGAGGGAAAGTATTTGTAAGAGTAACTGCGCAGGCTTACGTTACATATATTTAGTTATTTCTTTAATTATTGACAAAGCTATTGACAGGAGTTCATCATATGAAATGGACTTCTTTTCATTAAAATATTAATCTTGATGAAGTCTCAACAACGAAACATGTTCTCTGTATAATATCACTGTACGGTAAAACTGAGTTCCAGGGTTCATGCGTGCTAATAGAACCGTCCTTAGGGCAGCAGAGCGGAAACGGTGGAAATCCAAACACCATGACAACCTCCTAACCTATCAGGCTCTCCTCTCCTCTTTCTCTGCTTCGATCTCTCAGGCAAAAAGCACTTTCAAGATAAGATCCAATCTTCCTATTCCAATCCCAAAAAACTATTTTCCATCTTCTCCACCCTCTTGGACCCCCAAAAGCTCCTCCCCCCCTCCTCACTTCTGTCAAGCGACTTTGTTACCCACTTTGAAAAAAAGGTTAATGATATTCGCTCTTCTTTTTCTGACTCACCTTTACTCACCGCTGGGTCACCAGACCCTCCTTC